AACAAAACACGAAAATGGTTGTTTGAACTTATTTTTGATAAAAACAAAAATCTAAAATATTTTGTAAAACGTGGATTTAATAAAACGGGGTAAACTTTTAGTTTGTTTTTGGCTTTTCTCTATTTTTCTGTTAAATAAAATTTTATATGAATATTTATTTGTTTAACAATATTTTGTTTTATTTATTATAAAAAAATTATTTTATTTTCACAAAATATTGGAAATTTGTTTGGTAAATTTTTATGGACACCAAAATTATAATTTTTTACACCAAAATTATCAAAAGATGGAGTATAGGTTTCTACAAATTAACTTGAAAAAAGAGTAGTGGCATCTTATGAAGAATTTCTTCAAATATCATCCTTTAAATCAGAAGTTAAATAGAAATCCCTGTGGGGGGTTATTTAATAAAAAATAAAGTAATGGAAATCAGGAGTTTGATTAGAAGGCGTTTTTTAAATAAAAATTTTTAAGGTTATTTAAGCCTTAATCCTCTTATATCCGTTTAATTCCTCCAAATCGACATTAATTTTTGAATAAATTAACGAAAATATACCGAGATCTAAATATTTTTGAATATTTTTTTCCTTTAAAAATTTTTGAATTATGTGCAGGTCTGTTTAAAACTTGGTAGTAACTTGTTAATTTTTTGCTAATTTTTTTAACTTGTTAATTTTTAAATTGTTAAAAATTAAAATAAAATTTATTTAACAATTGCTGTGTACTTTTATTTAGCAATTTTAAATATCTGCTAATTTATTTCTACTTTTTAATAGCCACAAAAATTAAATAAAATATTTTCTAAAAATTAATAAAAAGTATAAAAAAAGTAAATCAGTCATTCCGTCAATCAAAAAAATATTTAAAAGAAAAGATTTATTTTTATTTATTTTTTCTTTCAAAAAGAGAAATTAAAAACAATTGTTTCAAAAAAGCCACAATTATTTTATTTTTTAATGTTTTTCCGTAAATTAACCTAAAAAAAGAAAAAATTTAAAACTCAAAATAATCGGTAAGAATTAATCGTTTCGATTATTTAATGTCCTCTAACTGTATCTTATTCTGCAATCCCTCCTCCAAACCTCTAAATATCGACAAATGTTTGTTGGATTTGAACTTGGGTTCAGAAAAATTTCTGATCCCACCCATTCTCTAATATAAATTTGACTGAAGTTTTGCGACTAGCTAACACCCGAAACTAACATCCAAAAATAACCCAAATTTTCGCCAACCCGATACCCGTGACCCGAAATGAAAACGCTCCAACCCGATACCTGAAACCCGTACCGAAAGATTTTTTGCACCCGCGGCAACACTTCTATGTAGTAAAATGTCTTTTCAATCCTTATTTATTTTTCCATTAGAATAACTTCCTTTTTTCTAGATGGATATTGAATTTTTTTGGGATATTATTAAAAATATACAACATTATTATTTGGCTAATTATCCATTATTATTTTCTTTTTTAACTTCCCTTTTTTTCTAACAAAGAATTTTCTTTCCATTTATTTTTTTCCCTTTTTTCCTTCCGAACACTTCCAACCAGACGTGGGCGAAACGTTTCGTTTCGTTTCGTTGTTTCGTTAGTTTCGTTATGTTTTTTCCTGTTTCGTCTCGTTTCGTGACGAAACACTTTTTAGTTTGTTTCGTTTCGTTTCGTTAACGAAACACCTCTGTTTCGTTAACGAAACATTACCCATTTTTTAGACCAAAATATTACCCAAAAACTGTAAAATTTTCCCCTTTGGTGATCAAAATTCAAAAAATTTTTGCCTGCGGCGCTGAAATCTGGATTTTAAGCGCCTACGGCGCATAATTTACTATATTTTTTTTGAATTTCTCGTTTGATTTTATTTTTTTAATATGCAAAGCTCGAATTCTATGCTAGATTAGGCATATAGAATCGATGTACCTCTTAATGCCAATCAGGGCAGGCGCAAGAGTTTCAATAAAGTTTAGTTTCAATAAACGAAAACGCAACTGATGGCAATGATCATGAATATGGTTGCCTTTTTTCGGGCCTGTTTCTATCGAGTCGGGCCAGTACGAGACTTTTCGGGCCAAATATCTTAGGCTCGACTCGATATTTTGGTCCGAGTCGGACCATTTTGGCAACCCTAATCATGAACGTTGTTATCAGTAAAAAAATCTGAGTTGAGAAATATCATTGGATTTGGCGGGAGCAATGGTGGTATAGGAAATTTGGAGAGAGTAAACGGATATCGGTGGATTTGGAGGGTTTAAAAAATTTAAAAAAATGCCGGGAATCAGGAACGGGTTTAGGCGATAGTAATTTCCGACAAAGTTAATTCCCTATTTTAGGGAATCAGGAAACGGGTCGGCAGGTCCCTGATATACATATACACATATACTCAACACATAATTCGAGCCTGGGACCACAATTTAAGGTCCCACTAAGCTATTAGATCAATTATAGGCCATAACTGGCCTAATAACGTGTCTAAAATCGAATAATTAAGAAAATAAAACCATTTTTATTAAATTTTTTGAAAATTAAAATGTTTCGTTTTGTTTCGTTTCGTTTCGCTAAATTTTTACTGTTTCGTCTCGTTTCGTTAACGAAACGATTTTTAAAAAATTTTGTTTCGTTTCGTTTCGTCTGAAAAAATTTTCGAGTTTCGCCCAGGTCTGCTTCCAACACCTTTTTACATTTTATTTTATAAACAAAAACTTTTTTAAAAAAAATTTTAAAAAATGTTTCTAAAAATAAAAATAATAATAATTTTTATTAAAACTTTTACTTTTTACGTTTTTTAACGAAAACCTATTCTATTCATTCTTTTCGAAAAGTTTAGGAATACCAAAAAAATTAAATAATGTTCTGTGATCTCAAATATCCTTTTTAACGTAAATAAAAATTTTTTATTTAATTTTAAATTAAAAATCCAACCTTTTTATTTTAAATTTTATTTATTTATATAGTTTTTGTTATAGATATTGCGCGCGCCAACAATTATCGGTCATTAAAAATAAACGTTGTATGTATAGGCCAAAGATTTTTATTAAACGAAAATACTTATTTAATTTTTCAAAATATTTAAGTATTTAAAATTTAGGAAAATAATTAACCTTACCGAATACCGGACCAAGATCTTAAACGAAAAATTTTAATTATCAAGATCAATATTTCTCGAAATATCTTGTAAGACACCCTCAGTCCGGTCCCTACTGCAGATATCCTGTTATCGGTAACAGTTTCTATGGTCATTCTGTAAATGAGAGATAGCTTATAGGAGGATATTTTCTTTGGTTAAATATTGAAAATTTCTGAGCATTCCAGATCCTTAATTAATTCAGGAAATAACCTCAACCTTCTATTTGGCGGGGTTATAATTAAGGATCTAGTAAGACGTCTCAAAAAATTTCCATCGGAAACCCTCTAAAAACCTTCAAAATACCTCCTCAGTCCATCTCTATTACTTTAATTAAAACCCTACACATATTTAACAATTCCAACCTTTTTTAACCTTTATTCTCCATTTGCCTGCGCATTTTTTTATTTAAACCTTCCTAACAATTTTTATATATTCACCGCCATTGTGTGAATTATTCAAAAAGATGGCGGCGAAAAAGGAAAAATGAGAAAAGCGCGGGAAGGAAGGAGTGAAGAAGAAGAAGAAAATTTATTTTTATTTATTGTGAACTCTTCAACAGGCGCAAGGCGGTCAAAAAGACATTATAGAACAAGCAATATTGTTGTAGAAGGAGTATTTAAAGAATGAAAAATGTTTTGTTTGGACAAGGGGACTAAAAATAAAAAAAAAGAAAATTTTTAAAGGAAAGAAGAAGAAAAAAGTCAAGAGGTTATTGCCAACAAAAAAATTTTTTAAAGGGGGGAAAATATTTCTAAGTGTCGTTGTCTACAAGTTTTTTTTAATATTATTTAGTGTTGAAGGGGGGAACACTTTATTCTCTTTAAATGTGTTAGGAAGAAAGTATTTTTAGATTTATTCGTAATTTTTTTGCTTCTTATTTGAACCCTGTTATGGCACATTTTAAGAGTGGAAGTTTGGTTTTACAAATGTTGTAAACTATAGGGGGTGATGATTCAGCAACATTATTGTTGTTTCCTAATCACTTTCCAATCACGTTTTTTAACAAAATTTCCTTCATGTATAAGCAATGAGGAGAACTGCTAGTAAAAAAATTCCAAAAATTCTTCTACCTTATTTAAAAATCCAAAAATATATACTAAAAATAGGATTAATATAAAAAGTAGTCTATGTATGTGTGTGTTCCATTTTAGCTTATTTCCCGGATGTCCTTTCTCATTTATTTTTTCATTATCTTTTATATGTTATCATGCATATAAACATACATAATATTTACACAATTAGTGAAGCAAAAAAGTATATAAAAAAAGAAAAAGCAAAAAAAATCTTGAAAAAAGCGCAAGTAAAAAAAGCTAAAAGTGAAAAGGCGCTAAAAGCTTTTGACAGCTAAGGAATTTAACAGAGAAATGTGCCGATGAAGAAAACAACAAAAATAAAAATATTACTAATAGTTTGTTATTTACTAAAATAAATTTAGTAAATTTTTTTATTAAAATAGGTCTTTTAAAATTTAATTTTTTAATTAAAAATCCTAAATATTTCTAAAAAACATGCCTAAAAGAACCTATTTTTAGAGATTAATAAAAATATGTTTGTTTGTTTCTCTCATTAACCCTCTCGATTTTCTTCAATTCGTTAAATCTCCAATTCCAAATTTGTCAGAATTCAAATAGATATTCTTTTATTAATTCAATTTTCGATCTACATTTTCTATGAATACCTGCTTATTTAAGATTAAAAATTGCATAGAAAATAATTGTTTTAAACAGAATCATTATTATTATAATTTTTATTTATTTTAAAATTATTTGTAAATATTTTATTTATTTATTTTTTTTCATTCTCAATATTCACATTTATTTGTTCTATTTAAATATTTTAAAGCGACTGTCAATTGGTATTTGGCCTCATTTTTAAACTTTTATCCCAAAATAATACTTGCACACACAATTCCTCCCCTCCTTCAACTTTTAAATTTTCAACAAATTCGATTGCCTATTGAAGAGAACGACAAGTTGAAAAAGCAATAGACCGACAACCACCTCTTGCCAAATGAGGGCAAAAAGAGGCAAAAAAGGGGAGGGGGAGAATAACAACACAATAATGCTTTGTTGAATTTATAAAAGTATTTTTAAAAATGGCGCGCGGCATAAGCAAAAGAGCGGAAAAGTTTGAGGTCTATTTAGAGGTTGCTCACTTTAATGCTTATTTTTTAATAAAATGATTTTTTGTAATTTTTCTATTAAGCTTATACATACAGTGTTAATTTTGATTATCTTTTCATTTTCGACCCCTTATGAATTATTTTGAAATTCCTATTTAGGCTTATTTGATAGCCCTTGAAATTTGCTATAAGATAGCCTGAATCTTATTTTCCAGACAAAGTATTTCGCTTGGTTATTAAGAGTAAAATTTTCATGCCTCCAAAAAACAACTAAGTAAATGCCCGATAAAATACCCTTTACGGTCGCTTCGGAAGATTAATGTTATATATCTCTCAAAAGAATTTCTTCTGGAAAATAAGATTCAGGCTACTTATAGCAAATTTCAAGGGCTATCAAATAAGCCTAAAAGGAATTTCAAAATAATTCATAAGGGGTCGAAAATATTTTTTTAAAGAGTCTTACCCATATTTTACCCCTATTTTCAGGGTATTGAGATCTCGACATTGAAATTAGATATGGGCCTAGTTCTTTTTTATTTTTTCTTAATATCGATAGATATGCTTGCTCAAATTTTTGTAGATTTTTCCTAATGTTAGAAACACGAAAATCCAAAGTGCGCTTATAATTTTGAACAGGTAAATTTAGCGCGTTTATTGAAAATTTTGAATTTTTTGAATTCAAATGGATAATTTCAAAATCTTTTAATGTCAACATATTTCTAATACGTTTTAGTATTTTAAATCCAAATTTGATAAAATTTGGATAACTAAGCCCCGAGTTATTCAATTTTTTCAAGTGCGCTTATAATTTTGAACAGCACTGTACAGTGTTAATTTTGATTATCCTTCCATTCTTTTAGTAATTTTTTAAATAAGTTTAAAAATTTTTTATTTATTAAATTCTCTCAAAATATTTTGACATTTTTATTTGTTGAATGTTTAAATTTAAAAAAAGGAAATAAACATCCATCCAAGTGTTGTGTTTAAGATGAATGTGAATGATGGACAGAGGAAATGCCAAGAAGCGTCCGACTGACCCTCCCCCCCCCCAACTATTTTAAAGAAAATTTTGAAAAGAATTTCCAAATGCCGGCACATGGCTATTTATTTATTTATTTCAATAAAAATGTTTTTAGTTTTTATTTCTCTCATTTATCTTCTTTATCTTCCCCTTTTCAATTGAGTGTCCATCTGTCCAAATATTTGAGGAAAGTATGAAGGCTGGAAGAATTTTTGATAAATTTGGTGTCAATCGATGTTTGTATTATTAAAAGGAACAATTATCGAGTAATTAAAAAGGTTAAAGTATAAATAAAGAGTAGTATGTATTCAGATTATTTACTAAAAATTATTTTTCAAAAAAAAATTTTGTATTTAATGTAAATTCTTCTTCATTTATGTAAATTCTTTATTTTTATTTTAAATTTTTTAAATTTCTATTTTCTTTTTTATATTTTGTTTTATAAATTTCGTTATTTATTAATTTAATATTTATTTAGTGTTCATTTTTTCATTAAAAGGGGATTATTTTAAAATATTTAATTAATCTTTTTTTGCTTAATTATATAAAACTATAATTTCTTTAATTGTCAGTATTTACTCATAAAAACAAAAAATACTAAAATATATTTAAGAAAGTATCAATTTTGTCAGGTGGTCCTTTATGCGATAAACACACAGTTAAGCAACCGCGCACTCAACGGACCAAAAAAAAACATTTAGAAATTGTTAGAAATTGCTAGGATTTTCCGTTACAAGGGAAATAAAAAGGCAAATTGGGGGTTGAATGAACGGAATAAATTGTGGGGGATTTGTGGATTTTATATATTGAGAAGGAGAGGAGGGAGAGAGGGCAGTTGTTGTTTTCTTATACCCTTAATTGACCCTATCCCTCTCTTTTTTTGTTTGAAAATAAAAATATTTTTTAATATTTTGTTTGATTAAACGTTTAAAAATATATTTCACATTTAAAATATATTTAAATAAATACATATACATATATTTAATATTTAAATTATAATTATATGAGTAAGAACTCTATTTACATCTCAAATTTTTATATCGCGTTTATCTTTTTATAAATTAATTTTTTGACAAAGTTTTATTTCATTCACTGCATCATTATTTTTATTTAATTAAATTTTGATTAAATTAAATTACTTTAATTAGATTAAATCACTGCTGTTCTATAACCTGAATCAGCGGCGAGTGTGATGTATTTTATTACCTCTCGTGAATGTAAATCATAATCAGAAAAGAAAATCTTATAAACTTTTAGTTATTGTCTTATACAAATATTAATTATAATCCCTTACATACATATCTCGCTCCAATATGGAACTCATATTTAATTAAATAAGAAAATACTGGACATACATATCCTTTTATATTTAATTAATTTTAGTATTTTTATTCTTTTGATCTTTTTTAAATAAAAAATCCAATCATCCACAAATAATATCTCTCCTCACATTTTTCTCATCTCGTTATTTTCATCACTCACATTTAACTTTATTTTTAATTGCCTTCCCTCTCTCTTTAGGTGAATGTGTAATCTTATACATATATTTATTTTATATATCCACTAAATCCATCAAAATTTATTCATTCTGAGTTATTTCAGTGAGTTTAATGCTTAATTGCGCGAGTAATGTGGGAACAATTCTTATTTAAAAAGGGGAGATTTAATTTGATTTTTTGGTGAGGAATTGTTCACTTAAAGGATATTTAGACAATTTTTAAATAATTTTTTTAAATTGGATTTATTTTATATTAGTATAATTGTTTTATTTTATTATAAACAATTACTAGAGAGATTACTTTGAAAAATAATATTTCTTTAGTATCGTTTAAATTGGATATTTTAAATTATAAAACTTTTATCACAATATTTATTCTTTGTTTGAAGCAGAAATGACGAATGTGCCGGAAATTGGAACTGTCGGAAGTCGGAAATCGGAATTCTAACCCATCTCTGGTTTGAAGACACTTAATAGTTTAATCTGTGTCAATTGATAAAATAATTAACTTGAGTACATATTTATTGTTATACATGTTAATGGAAACATGACGGACCTAAAAAGTCTGATTATATACATCTTTAAAATATAATTATCATTTTAAAAATAATTTATTTTGAAACCAAATCTAGTTTTCTTAAAAAAATAATTCTTAAAACAATTCCTTTTTTCTAAAAATTGTTTTTACAAAATATAATTTTAGGTCAATTTTTTGTATTAAAAATTTCCAACAATTTTGCAAATAAAAAATACTTCAATAAAGTATTTAATAATTACCTAAATTTTAATTCTCAAGGGAGCACCTAATTGCCCAAATTTGTCTTTTTTTGTTTATGTTCCAATTGCTTCTTTTATTTTTTCCATTTTCCCGACAAGGCGGTTCCCGCTTATTTAAAAGGAGGATTAAGGGTCGGGGGCTAACAACAACATCAAATAAAGAAAAAAAACAACTTTACTCTTCCCTTCCCTCAGGCATAACGATGAGATTCCCCCATTTGGACAAGAGCTTTATTTTGTCCTCAACTTTCTCAACGGCTTTTTCTCTTTACTTATTTATTTATTTCTCATCATCTTTTTACAAAAAAAACCCGAAAATACCTCTCGTTTAAGATATATAATTGGCCAAATCAAAACTTTGTGGGAAAGCGCGAAAATAATGATGAAATTATTTAAAATAATAGAAAACTTTCCCTCAATTTCCATTTTTTATTTTTATTCCATAGCTAAATAACTACAATTCTTGCGCAACTCTGACCTTACAATTACTTCTAATTTTTAAATTTTATTCTTATTATTTTTTAAAATTGCGTAACTTTTAAATAAATAGAGAATAAATCATTTTCAAACTTAATATATTAACAAATATTTATTTATTTAGCTTTATTTTAAAACTTTTCCTTTATTCACCTTTTATTACTACCTGTTTTCACCAAAATTATATTATTATTATATGCCCCCATTATTATTAAAATAAAAATATAGTAATAAAAATGCAACTTTTACGAGTTAATCTTTGATGGCAATAATACGTAAAAAAATAAAAGTAATTTTTCATTGCCATAAAAAGAATAAAATTCACTTTATATTTTTTTTATTCGCTTAAAATAATAATTCCTTCACAATTCAACGTCAACCGGTTATGCCCTCATATTTAATCTCTTCCCTATTTTTCAACTTCCTCATCCCTCTGCCGCTTATTTTAACTTAATTCCCCTCTTAAAAAGATGAATGGACTTGTTGATGAAGAAAAAAGAAGAAGAAGATGATGATCCCATTACCTCTTTTTTATTTTTCGCTTATTTTCACTTAAATCCTCCCTCACCAATTTTTCATTTAAAAAAGCCAAAAGTCCTTTTTTAGCAAAAAAAGTAATTTTTAGCCAAAAAATCTTTTTTGGTCGTAAGGGTATTTTACTATTATTTCGTGGTGAATTTTACGAAATAATGAAAATATTTAACTGGAAAATAATATGAATAGGTAATTAGAATCACCCGAGGAAAAATATCTAGAATTATTTTTTTATTAATTTAAAGAAGTAAAAAATGTATTAGGTTATGGACCAATAAAAGGATGTGAGACTGAACAACTGTATTAAAAATCATAAACCAAAAATTCAGGATTCCCGTAAGAATGAGAGACTTAAGTCAGCTCCCTCCTACATATTATAAAACTTATCTTAATGTATAAAAAACTGGCTTAATATTCCAAGCTTTCTAAAAAAATAATTTGTTAATTTTATTAAATAATATTTTGGACAATCCCATTTTCCCTTCCTCCTTAAATTTCTTAAAAATTATAATTTATTTTATATTTATTTTTAAATGTAAATAATTGGTCAAATTCTCTCATTTCATTCTACGCTCAAAATAGGCGGAAGTTTTCGGTATACTTTATGTTATTTGAACGGTTTTAAGTTTTGGATAAAGGAAATAAAAATAGCGGAGAAAGAGAACGGAAGGAAGGAAGGTGGAATTTGGCCATTGAGTGTATTTACCTTTATTTTATGTTTATTTTTACTAGCATTTTCTAAGTGCAAAATGGATGGATTTTGCTAAAAATACTAGGCGCGCAATAGTTGGCTATATTTTTAAATTTTGCTCTTTGGCCTATTTTAAGGTAGGAAAACTTGGGTGAGAGAGAGGTTATCCAAATAGAATATTGAAGACCCTATTATTATTTAAACAATCTTTTTATGTTTTCCTGTAAATTTGTTAAATTTTTGTAATTAAATCAAAAAAGTTTTTGTTTTAATTCTGTTTATAATAATATTCCCTCGTCCTTATATTTTTATTCCCTCACCAAAATATTATTTTATAAACAAAAAATTTTTGAGAGTAAACAATAAACATATATTCCTAGATTTTTATTTTTAATATTTATTTCTGAAAATTAGTATATTAATTTACTTATAGAAAATTATTAAATTAAAAAGGCTTTCAATTTAAGGAAAGCTCTGTATAGTTGAGGACATTTTACTAATTATTTATAAAATATAAAATTCCAAAAACTTTCTATTAGAGAGATATTTTAACCACAAAATTCACTAATATTTCTTTTTTTATTTATTCAACCTTTTAAAAATTTATTTTAAGACTAATAAAACAACAAAGAAATATTTATATGTATATTTATTACTTACAACCATTTCCGCCCAAATAAAAAATCCCCCCCCCCCCCCTCAAACAATTGTTGGGGACACAGAAAAATTTCTTTCACCCGATTGAACGCTCTTTATTTTCTTTTACCTTTTTAAGTGCCTTTTTACAATTTTTTTACAATGCCTTTTTTACAATGCCTTTTACAATTTTTTAGTAAAATTATTGGCCTGCGGTCAAGCGCAACCAATTTTACAGCAATTGCTCTTTTTTATTTTTTTTTTCAAAAATTCTTTTTATTATTTTTGCTTTTTACTCTTTCGGCCCATTTACTTCCACCTTTACTTTTTGCAATAGCTTTTGATATTTCTATTGCAGATGGAGTATTGTAGAAATTTTAAAAATTATTTTATGTCCTATAATAATTTTTGGGAATATTTTCGGGAATTTTGGTCCATTAAGTTAAAGATTGTTGGGTTCTGAAATGCGAAGGAGTTCTTTGATAAGGAGGAAATCTACTGGACTTTTATTAATTTTGAATAAATTCACCTCATTAACTCAAGGAACCCTAAACTCGGGAATCTATATACTCATTCTTGGAGTTTTCCGAATCCCTTCCTATGAATTGGATCTTGAGAATTCTCAAAAAAGACATCTTATTCTCTCAACAATTTCTTCAACCCTCACAATCATTCAATACCATATCTAAATATTTCATAAAATTTTTTTTTAATTTTTAAAATATATTTTAAATATTTGAATTACACAAAGAATCCGCAATTTTTAATTTTTTATTTCTTGCGCGCCTTTTTCCAACCTACCAATTTTCTCCTTTTTCACTCAAATGCTTCCCTTAATGCTCCTTTTACTCTCCTCATTTCCTCCCTACTTTTGCTATGCTTACTGACCACCCCCACCAACTATTTATATTTATACTACCTTTTGGCGAGTGGACCTTAAAATGTAAATAATTTTACGATAAATTAATAATTTATTTGTGCCAGCAATGACTACTTCCCCCTTTTTTAACCTTTTCCCCTTTTTTCTCAATTTCTAATTCGTCCATTTTCGTCTTCACCTGTCCCTTCCTTCAACCTTTAGGATCAAAACTCAGTGCCTGGCGCCTGATGTTTTTTTGTTATTTTCAAAAATAATACAAAAAATTAAAAAAATTATTTTAAAGGATTCTTTGTCCTAAATTTAATGTCAAGCTATTTTTATGCAATTATAAACGAGTTTGATATATTTAGGTATTCCATAGTTAAAGTATTTTAAGTCACCTAGATAGATTACCGATAGATGCCGTTACTTGATCCGTTACTTATGCCGTTATTGATCACTCCGAAATCTCAAATTATATACGATTCCTTTAATCTTTCATTTATTTTTAGTTTCGAGTTTTAATGAGATAAACAAATAGCCATTTAATTTCTCCTTAAGAATAATGTTACTTACTAAATTCTCAGATATTTTTTTGGATTTGAGATTTTCGAATCATTTTCATAAAAATTATGTCTTTAGTTCAAAATTTTTAAATAATTTAATTTTAAAGGATTGTTATTTATTTAACAATAAGCAAAAATTATTAAGCAATTCCCACAGCATTTGACACTTCCCCTTTTCCCTCCAACTTACTACTGCTACTATTTTATTCTTTCCCTCCCCCTTAAGCGTTTCCCTTTCCCCTTTTTTTGCTAATTTATTCGCTTTTATTATTTTTTAAAATTTATTTTTATTTTCCTTCTTAAAGCTCTCAAATCTCCGTTTCCTTCCTTCCCATCTGCTTCTATTTTAATACCCTTATCCTTCCGGAAGAAGAAAAAAACAACAACCGTCGTTCATCTTCTCGCGCACCTCCCTTTCTCTTTTAAAAAAAATAAATCTGTTCTCTCCCTCCACTAAACCTGGCCCCAACTTATTCTCATTTTTCTTTGCATTTTTTCTCTTAATTTTTTCTTCCGTTCCCATAATGATATATTTAGAATAACAAAAAGAATATCTAAATAAAATATGTTAATTTTGAGGGAAATTCTCCCGCTTGGATTTAAAAAAAAATATTTATTTTCTTTTGTCTTCTCAGCAATAATTAGAAGATATTCCTCATTAAAATTTAAAGTTCTTCTCCACCTAACTTCCAAACAATCATAAAATAATTGTATTATTTTAGTCTTTAAATGTAGATCAAATAAATCAACCCTAAAGACCCCCCCTAAGACCTACACCCACCCCTAAGACCTACACGCTGAAGACCTACATATTTAACCTGAAGACCTACAACTTTTTGATCAACTCAAATTTTTTATCTTTACAATTTTAATCGGTGGGTCTGAGTAACCTCTGGGCCGACCCACCTCTGGGTCTGAGGGAGACTTCCATTATTTTTAAATTAAATTCTCTTCAATATTTTTAACAAAAAACAGGTTAATTATTTAAATTATTTAATAGAAGAAAGTCGAATAAATGGATGAATTATTCAAATAAATTAATTTTACATATCTTCTTCTCTTAATTAACAACATGCAAATTAAATCATTAATTATTTTATCAGTTTCCCGACTTTTTTTGTTTCGTTTATTTGCAGCAATATTTCAGCCAACTTATTCCTCTGAGAATTTTAGACAGAGACGTTCACAAGGTGAGAGAAGATTTGAAAATATTTAGAAATTTTTTTTTAATTTGAGAAATTTATTACAAAAACCTAAAAAATTGTTGAAATTATAAATGGGGCTTTTTGCTTGATAGACCATTCCCGAAAAATCTCTCGGGTTCGATGATCTCTCTCTATCTCTCTCTACGATTATCCAAAATTTGTCATTTTTCTATGTGTATCATTTAAATTTTAGCCCTATCTAGCCCTATCTACAATTATCCAAACTTTATTTTATTGTATTTTCATAGACTTCCTCTAAATAACTCTAAAAAAAGTTGACCCTATTTTTCTATAAAAATACCCTTCAACACAATAATTAAATAAAAAATTATTTTCCACTTCTGGCAATATTTTATTAAATATATCCTCTGTTTCCTCAAATTTTTACGGCTTCTCAAAATATGTTTGTGTTATTATTATTATACCCTTCATATTTTTTTAAATGAGAAAAAAAATATTAGAAAAACAAATAAAAATGTTATTAATTCTTTTATAGCTCTAGGGTGTGTTTATGGCTAGAAAATTAATTTTTGGTTTCCGGGGTAAATAAAAAAGTTGGGGGGAAGGGAGGGAAATGCAAATATAAATAAAATAAAATAAATAGAAAATGTTAGAAGCAACAGAGAAAAATAAAAAAAATTTAAATAATGCTTAATTAAGCCTGGAAGGCATTTAAAGAGTAAAGACTGGTTTTTAATTGGAGAAAAATCTTTGAAAAAGAAAAAAAAATTTTTAATTAAATATGGAAATTTTTGTTTACTTTAAATTTAAATTAAATATTTAAAAAAATAATAAAAAAATTATTTAGAATTATATGAAGTACGTGTCTTTGAAGGAGCGCCTATTGGAACAAAGGCAACCTTAAATGAAGCTTTTGATAAAGCATTGGTAAGGAATTAAAAAAATAATTTTTATTAAAATTAATTATCAATAAAAATTATTTATAAAAATAGGCTTATTATTAGTTTATCGTTAGTTTATTACTGAGTTTCAAAACTAAGCAAAAATTAATTATTTATAAAAATAATTTTTGCTTAGTTTTGAGACAGGATGTTTGTGCGTTTGTTTATGAACACTAATTTAATATTACTTATTACAATACTAAGAAAATTAAATTTTTACGTATTTTTTGAAAATCCGAAATTTTCATTCCACCTAAAAATTTCATCTTTTACTTAGCCTCTAGGCTTCTAGGCTGATTTATGTATAAATCACACAAGCATTATTTTGCCTAATTATAAACTTTCTCTTCTTTTAAAGTTACCATTCAATTCTTGTTTTGCACAAATGGATTCTGATTTGGATTGGCTTGATTTTGATCCTCTAAGACTTGTTTTCGAAACAATTTCTGAAATGCCCCAAAATAATAATAGCAGACCCGCACAATTTGCAGTACTTCATTTACTTTGCCCAACCAAAAAAGTTTTTCTTCAAATAAATAATTAAAGATTAATATTTAAATTTTTAAAGCATTCTCTCCATTTTTCCGTTCATATTACAAGAAGGAATAGACATGCACCTAAATTTCTTGAATCCGATTATAAATTTTATGCACCGATAGATTTGTCTGTTGGGGCAGAAATTGGTAGAGTTCAAGTTCAGGTAAATTTTAATTGAATTATTTTTGGTAATGAAGGACTTTTAGAAGGTCAGGGGAAGAAGGAAGGAATAGACATTTTTTTAAAGCATTCTCTCCATTTTAATTTTGATATAAAATTTTTTAAAATAATTATTTAAATTTTAGGATCAAGATCCAATTATTTACAACAGCCAGGTAATAAAAATTAAATGGAAATAATTTTTATGTAAATTAAATTTGAAAGGTCCAGTTAAGTATTTTACTTTCATCTTCTTCAACTCCAATTCTCGGTTCCCAACCTCGAAGAAGTGCTAATAATTTAATTAATTCTGATGAAGAACAATCATTACATTGGGATATAACTAAAGAAGGATTAATTATAGTCAAAAGATCTTTACGCCAATTACGCCTTTACAAGCCTTATCAAGTAAAATTTCTGAGATTGAAAATAAATTTTATTTTTAAATTATTTTTTAAAACCTCTATATAGTAGACGCTTTTTTAAATTTAATTTACAAGAGTGGATAATATAGAGAAGAAATATACCCTCTTATTAAACATCCTTTCTAAGGGGGATAACCAAAGCTTGATTTATATGCCCCGAAAGAGATACTGATTTAAATTTGCCTTTAATATTCAATTCAAAATTTAATAATTAATTAACATAAAAAATTAATTTAAAGATCCGGCTATTGGCTATAGACTTTGGATCTCCTCAACTTTTTTCATTGGCAAATGTATCTGTTATACCTGTTTCTGTTTCGGGTATAAAATTAAAAAAAAATATTCAGAAAAGAATTCAATTATTTTTGTAGCCACACAAAATGTTCGTGTAAACATAGCAAATACCCATTACCAAATATTTCAATGGGATTTACCTACATTTGGAATTCCTGAACGTTTCCGTTTAATTTTGAAAAGAAAACCTTCAAATAAAAATGAGGGAGAGAATAAATTAATTTTGCATCAACAAATGATTGAACCAACAGAAACGATTACAATGACTAGAGTTTTTGTTTAGAAATTATTTTTATAAAAATAATTTTTAAAGGTTCGTTTATTGCCTGGAGAACAAGTAGAACTTTGTATTTGGTCTGTAGACGCAGAAGGAGAAACTCCTTCGGAAATTATTAATTTTCAAACGGTTGAGAATGGTAAGGAAAGTTTTCCTCTTTATCTATTGAAACGTTGAAAATAACGTTATGTTCCGTTTATCCTATTATAACTTGCTATCCTGGACTTAAAAATTAAAAAAAAATACGTTTTTAGCTCCTCAATGTGATGGTCAATGTTCATCACCTAATGTTGGCCTTCCAATGTGTTACTTTTCTAGTGCACATTATTTAAGACAAGTTAGAATTTAATTTAAGAATTATTTAGATTTTTAAAAATTTTTTCTTAGTTTCGCGATTCAAATGGAAATTTAAATTGTCTTTGTTTTGCCGGCTTTTCAGGACCTCAGTGTGATAAACTTGGTAACTATCCCTTAAACTATTATTTAATTATTTTTAATTTCGGAGCATTGCCCAGCCCAAAGAGTTCTTGAGCAATATGGAGGTGTTGATTGGCCTGAAACGTTAGAAAAAATTTAAAAAATTTTTTTAAATCTTCCTTCTTTCAGTACTGTAAACAATTCTGCTTTTGTTCCGTGTCCATATAATGAAGATGGTCGTCGTTTAGAAAGAAGTTGTGGGTGGGATTCACAAACAGAAATGCCAATTTGGGCAACAGCTTCGCAACAAACTTCAAAACAAACAGAACAACGCGAAACTGGTGGAGGTAGTTGTAGAACGCAGGTGAGCTTAGAAGATAATTCAGCTCCCTGTAGGATCAAACATTCATTGGGGATTTCCTTTCTTTTGGATTTCCATTAATTTAAATATTATCCTTTTAGAGTTCAGTACTTGTCCATCTTGGTGTCTTAGCTAATTATGGCCAAAGAACTGAACAGACCCTCTCTGGACTTCAATCAGTAATGCGTTTTCTCTCTACATTACTCCAATTCCCAGCATTTCAAACAAATATTCATTCTGCTCATTTTGATGCAAAAATAGCAGAACATGTAGCTCAAGTTTTGGATGTTTTGGCAACAAAAAATTTTTCTGCATTGGGAGGAATTGGAAATAATAATGATAATTCTTCTCGGTTACTTAGGCGGCAAATAGCTGATTATACAAAAGAATTTGCGAGAAGATTACCGGTAAATATAAATATTTGTTGCTATAAAGCGGGAGGACGGCCGCTTTAGTTTTCAATCCCTTCTCAAAGACCGCTCAGATACGTAGTAATAGGGGATCTATGGATACTTCGCCGCACATAAGCGAATCTTGTTGTTCCTTCGGGGTGGAAATACAGTCACAATTTTTATAATCAGAACATTCTTTAAAGTTTCATATTCTCCTCTTCTTTCAGAATCCATTTTTACTTCAAAGCCCAAGTGGAGGACTCCAAATGCGTGTTTGGGATATACTTCCTTCAGCCTCAACATCATCACAGCTTTCCACTGATAAAGATTTATTTGATGACCCGAATATATTTTTAGAAGATAAAAAAGAAGAAAATTCTTTAAAAGAAGACGAAGACGATGACGGAGGTGTGCAAATTGGCTCTTGTTTTGTTCAACCTCCAAAGGGGAGAAGGAATAATTATGCGAGAATAGCTCGTGCTGTTTGTTTTAAAAATGCAACTATAGCATTATTCCCCACTCTGGACGAATTTGAAATTGTTAGTGGAAATCCAGTTTTGATGTTGGAAGTTAGGAAAAGCAGGAATGGACAAAAGAAAAAAAGAAATGAAGGTAAAAACTAATAATGATACTGACATTAATAAATAAAATTTTATACATCTAACTTTTTTAACTTGTGCTACCTTATGTTGGGGAAAGTAGAAGACCATATCACCAACTCGGGTTTTCTAATACATTGAAACTGTTCAATTTATAGTAATCAATTAATGATAAAAAATACTCAGCACAATTAATTTAGAATATTAACAAAGTTAACCCAAAATTTAAACTAATTGTTGGAAATATCTATGGGAGAATGTCTATAACTATTTTTTAACACTATATTCTCAATTTCATAGATGGAATAATATCAAATTCGAACACATTTCCTTCGGAATTAACAGAAGAGATATCAGAAGAAAATCGAGATCGTGAACCTTTACTTGTTGGATTTAGATTACCTTCAATTAGCATGTCTATTGAAGACGAAGATAATCATACCTGCGCTCATTATGATCAGAATGGTTTGGAAAATTTCCAAAAAAATTTCAAATAAAATTTTTAGCCCAAATTTGGTCAATTTCTGGTGTTGTTGTTCTTTCACGCGAAAGCCGTCCTAATGGCCAGATTTTACTTTGTGAGGTTCATGGTTTAAAATCCTCTGGAGTGTTTGCGGCTTTGCCTGATAGATTATTTGCACAAACTGATTTAGGGCTGACAAAAGCTTTTGTTTTATTTTTTGAAAATTTTGGGCCTACAATAAGTGCTGTTTTTACAATTGTTCTTTCTTTGGTTCTTCTCTTCTCTTTTAGCATCTTTAGGAGGTAGAAATATTTTTTAGTTTGTTTTGGAAAAATTTGGATATATATTTGAGAGAACGACCCTATTTTTGATAAAATAGTTCTCATACTTATTAAAATTGCCTATTAAATTCATTACATTTTAAGATCAAATCGCCCTAAACAACAAACAGACCCAGCCCATTTAACTTTACTATTATCATTCATTTTACTCCATTTTTTTCATTTTCTCTTGCTAATTCGTCCACAATTATCTTCAAATTCTTCATTTTTGTGGTGGAGATGGTGGCCAGATTCTAATATTTTATTCTTAATTTTTCAATTATCTCTACTTTCGTTTACTTCTTCAATAGCACTTTTAACTACGTCAATTTATTCAAGAATTGTAAGGCTAGAAGTGAGAACATCATTAAAAGGGAAATCGAGAAGAGCTAGATCTTTGGCTACTTTACTATTTTGTTTAGGTACAAAAATTTTTTTGTATGGGGATTTGGAAAGAAAAGTTATCAGGCTATCCAGATTATCTATAACTACAAAGAATTCACCTTAATTATCAAAGACATAATTAATTCTCATAATTATTTTCAGTTCTTCCATTATCATTAAGTGTGTTAACTTTAATTCTTGATGGCCAAATACTTGAAGGACTTGACTCTGATGATCCGTAATACTTTTTTATTTTTAAACTTAATCTTAATTATTATTATTTCAAGTCATTTACAACCATTTAATTGGATATTTGGATTATTTCTTTTATTACCTTTAATTATTTCTTTGGGCATTGCTATGGGGTTTGGAGCTTATTCTTTTTGGTATGCCAATCGGCTTTTGGCTGCTTCTTTTTCATCAACAACTGTCCCAACAACTTCTGCTTCCAATTGGCCAACTGATTCTTTAGAATCTCCGAGGTCTTTAAATCCCTGCAATTTCCTTCAATTATTTTTAAAAATTAATTTAAGCACAACTTCAATATCCACAACACCTTTACTTCTTCAACGTCGCCTACTTCATCGTTTAGGAAAGGCTTCTGGACTTTCCTGGCTTCTTCTACTATTTCCCATTTCCAATTTATTAGTTCTTCTACAGCCAACAGAAACTTTAAAATGTCTTGTTCTTTTTATTCTTCACTTGTTAACTTTTATTTGCCTTTATTTATTCCATTTTCTTCTTGTCAAAATCCAATCTAAAATGCCGCAACAGAATAACCAATTAAATGGGGGAGGACAATTAATTAGTAATTCTAGTAATGGAAATGGAATTTATAAAAATAATAATGGAAATGGAAATATTAATCAACAACAACAATTATATGTTCATCAAACTGGTGTTGGAAATAATGGAATTAATCAAACTGAAAGAATGGTTAAATGTTTTTAGAATTTATTTTTAAATTAAAATGCCTTCTCGACTAGTATTTTTAATTTTTCATTACCCTTACCAAAATCTAAAATATTTCCTGTATGTCCATTCGTTTTAACTTTATATTGGAGATACCATTATTATCCATAATTCATTTTCTAACTCTCAAAATATATAATCAAAAGTCTAAAAATTTACTTATCTCTAAAATAAAAATAATCATTTTAAAGATGTTAACAATCCAAGAACACGGCCAACTTCAACCTATCGCCCCAGGCGAAACTCTTTTATATGATAGAAATAATATTAACAATTTTAACACAACAGATAATTTATCTGTAAAAGAACGGTAAAAATTAATTTTAAAAAATTTTGAAATTAAAGTAAAAAACTAAAAATGAAAATTTAAAAGAATATTTTGAAAAATGTCAGAAAACGACTTTTTTTAAATTAACTTTTCGGAGAATTGTCTATCCAATAATTATCCCATTTAATAAATAAATTCAAAATTTCAGTCATTTTATGCAACATTTATTTTCTCGAAGACACACTAACAACCAATTCAATACTTCAAATAACCAATTAACACCCACACCCGTCCAACAACGTTTTTCTGGAACAATATCAACCTCTATAGGAGCACAAGATTCTTCTGTAATGGACTCTTTAGGTTCTTTAGAAGATGAAAAGGAAGGAATTTTAATTTCAGAAGAATGGGGAAGGTCTTCCAGACTTCAAAAAAATTTATTAATAAATCAGAATTTAAAATTAACTTCGAATATATTTGCAAAAAGTGAAGAAGATGAAGATGAGGAAATTGATGGGGAAGATGATTTAAATGCTTTTCTTGAAGAGAATAATGAAAGAAATATTTTAAAAAGAAATTCAAAAAATTTAAATGAAGGAGATAAACATCACATCCTTTAGTTAGTGTTGTGTAAAGAATAGAGATCGGAATTGGAATTTTGTGACATTTCTATATTTATAAAAGGACTTTTAATTCGGATTTTTAGATTTTTGACTAGGAAAGTTGGAAAAGTCTTTAAAATTCCAAAGCCTTATTTCGATCTCTAAAATGAAAAAATGCGAAAGCTCGTTAATAGCGAAAAATTTGACTAAATTATTACTGGTTCTCATTAATGGTTCTTATCATTTGGGAAAGTTTTTTTAGTTTATTTTAATTGAGTCGCTACTAATGAAATTTATTTAAAGTATTTAATTTTTTAAAAATTTTAATTGTGGTTCTTTATTTCTTTTTTTGTTCCCAAATATATTCTAAGAGCTTTTCTTATGTGAATCGGAATTTTGAATTGACTGAAAAATATGTTTTTTAACTAACGAATTATCTCCTAAATCAACTCAAAATTCTTATTTACCATAAATATATTTTATTTATTTAAATATAAATTAAATTATAAAATTTCTGCCTTTATTGCCAGTCACTGCCCATTTTATATTTTTTCTTAAATTTTTTGCCAATTTATTTAATTTTTTTTTATTACATAAAACAAAAAATAAATAATTAATTTTTTTAAATTTTTTTAAATTAATTCTTTAATTTTTAATTTTTAGTTTATTTGACAAGATTTTCTAAAAAAATACACCCGAGAAGTGATGATAATTTTGAATTTGAAAAGTCATTTTATATAATACATAGTTGTGGTCATTTTAAGGACAAATATATAATCTAGTTTTAATAATATCTCTTTGGAATAAATTAAAGTGTGGTCACTAGTAATATTCAAAAAGTAGTGTATAAATTGTAAAATAGTAGATAAAATTATTGATTTTTAAAAATAAATTAATAAGAAAAAATTTTATGAGTTGGAAACTTTTTTTTATTTAAACAGCTTAACATAAAGAATAAACGTTAATAAATCCTTTTTTAAATTTAATTTTTGGTAAAATAGAATTATTTTTGGGATGATATTAAAAAAAATTAAATATATTGTTTACTTAATTTAAACGTGTAAATAATTTTTTAAATAAATTTTAGGCAATATAAATATTAATTTATTTGGGAAATAAATTATCATTAATATAATTAAAATTAAATTAAAAAATAATTAAATTAAAAATTAAATTAAATTAAAATGCTTAAAATAAATAATTTAATATTATTTTCTTTTATTTTTATTTTATTTATTTTTTCTATTGAATTAATTGATTCGCATTGTGGTGTTTGTGTTGCTAATAAATTTTGTTGTGGAACTACGTAATTATTTTTTATTTTTATTTTTAAATTAAAATAAATTTAAGATGCTGTTCAAAAAATAATTGGGATGAATGCTGTGGAACTCAGTAATTTTTTTAATTATAATTTTTTTTTAATTTTTAAGATGCTGTAAAAAAAATGCTTGCTGTGGCAATAAGTAAGTATTTTAAAAATAAAATTGAAATGATACTTGGGCTTTTTTTATTCTATAAAAAAATTTTTTTTATTTAGTTGTTGTGATTTAAATACGGAATATTGTAAAAATGGAAAATGTCATGTAAGTATTATTTTAATAATAAAATTAATTAAATTTTATTATTTTTGTTAATTTATATGTAGTAGCGTTCAAATTCTGACATTTCCAGGATTTTTCGGATCAGATAATTCGAATCAATATAATTTGATAAAATCCAGAGTTTCCGAAAACTTTAAAATTTTCTTGAATTTCTTTGGAAAAATACTTTTTGAAATTCGGAACTCGGATCTCTGTCATCCTAAAAATTTGAATTCTACCTAATATATTTAAATAAATTGTTTTTTTATTTAAGCATATTGGACTATAAATCGATGGGAATATTTTAATAAAAATAATTTAAAAAATTAAATAAATATTTATATATTTCTATTTAATACTTCAACTCGATAAAAATTTTAATTTCTTATTTTTTTTATTTTAAATTTTTTATTAAATTATTCTTAAAATCTATATACAAAAAATAAAAAATTACTTAAAGACATTTACAACCATTTAATTGGATTTTTTGGATTATTTCTTTTATTATTTTTAATTATTTCGTTGGGTGGTATTCCAATCGTCTTTTGGCTGCTTCTTTTTCATCAACAACTGTTCCAACAACTTCTGCTTCCAATTGGCCAACTGATTCTTTAGAATCTCCGAGGTATTTTTAAATATCTTTTTGAAAAACTTCAATATAAATTATAATAACTTCAAATAAATTGAAGTTATTATGTAATCTCAGTTTCAATTAACTCTACTTAAACCCCTTTATTAGAAGCTGTCCTTATAGATCTATTTACAGTTTGCACATAATTAAACTCAGTTACCTTTCATTCTACATTTACTCACCTCAAAACAGTCCTCTATTAACTCAAAATTCTTGTTTACCATAAATACATTTTATTTATTTATTTAAATATAAATTAAATTATAAAATTTCTGCCTTTATTGCCAGTCAGTGCCCATTTTATATTTTTTCTTAAATTTTTTGCCAATTTATTTAACTAATTTTTTATTACATAAAACAAAAATAAATTAATTAAAAATTAATTCTTTAATTTAATTTTTAGTTTATTTGACAAGATTTTCTAAAAAATACACGAAGTGATGATAATTTTGAATTTTATATAATAACTGTGGTCATTTTAAGGACAAATATATAATCAAGTTTTGATAATAAATATCCCTTGGGAATAAATTAAAGTGTGGTCAGTAGAAAAAATCAAAAAAGTATAAAAAACTGTTTTTATTTATTTTAAAAGTTTAAATAATCCAAGAAAAAATTTTTTTCTAAAAATGGATAAAAATAATTTTTTAACCCCCAAAGTAGTCATTATTCCACCTTCCTCCTCCTCAATTTCTTCATCAACGTCTTCATATTCTTCAGAGAAAAAACCCTTAATTTCTCAAAGAAATGCCCAACTTCGTGCCAAATTTTTTGGTTTAATACCTAATAATGAGGAAATAATTTATGCAGATGAGGATGATTTATTAATTTTTTCTAATGGGATAAATAATTTAGGAAGGAGAGAAAAACATCCAAATAGGTAGACCAAAATAATTTTTATGAAAAATTTCTAACAATTGACTGACAAAAATCTAATGCTGACCTGCTTTTCTAGCTTTAAGAGAAAAACATAGGCCCTTAATAAATTAGAATTATCTTGAAAATCTCAAAATGAGGGGAGTTTTCTTTGGCAGATAAATTTTTCTCTAAATTTATTTATTTAAAGGTCCACTCAAATAAATATACCCTCACATCCACCTTCAACTCCTTCGCAACAAAAATACAAAAATAATTCTTCATTGAATCATAAACATTCTCCATTATTTAAAAAGAAAGGAAAATGGAAACAATTTAATAATATAAGTAATTTAGTATTGGATTGCCAAAAATGTAGCAATTATTGGAATAGAGCCAAAGCAGTGGTGCATGATTGTTTTTCCGGGGCAGTTACTTCTGCTAGTAAGGTAAAAGAAAATAATATTTTTTTGGAAATTCAAAGAATATAAATTGCGAAATTGGAAATTTAAAAGAAACAAAGATTAAAGAATATTTGGACATATGTAGTTTAAAATAAAAAATAATAATTAATTTAATTTCTAAAATATCTAAGGAATTTTATATTTTTTGTATTATAAAATTTTTTTGGATATAATTTCACACTAATAATTTTTTTATTTATTTTTAAATCCAATTATTTAAATTTTATATTTAATCTTTATTTAGAATTTAAACAAATTTCGTCATCGTCGTCATAGGTGTTGGTCAACATCGGAAGGGACAATAACTAATAGCAGCGACGATGAAAGGGAGACAAAAGAACAAATTAAGGATACCAGTTATTGTGTCAAAAAGGATTGTGGTTTCCTTTATACAAGTTCCAGGAAGTGGGTGGATATTTTTAAAATTTTGGATATTTTTGAGAAAATTTTAAATTTATTTTTAAATTTTGAAGTTATAGAAAATTTTATGTTTGCAGTTCTCACACAAAAAAATTTCTATCCAAGATATAGACATATTTTAGTACATATTTTAGCCTTTAAAATTCCAGAATTTAATTTATTTAATAGTGGAAAACACAAATTTATTTGGATAATTACATACTTGCTTCTCGGTCTAAAAGCTTATTTCAAAATATTAAAATATAAGAGAAAATATTAAAATTTCAATAGACCTTCCATAATTTTTATAAATTGCGTTGTAAATTTCTATCATTTTTCATTAAATTCTTATTTAAAGAACCAATAAAGAGTCAAGAATGGAGCATGGTCCAAGAGAATATCTTTCGTTTAAGGATATCGGAATTGACTTTTGTGCACGTACAAGTTCTCACGGAATTCCTTTTGTTGGGTAATTTTTTTGTGAAAAAATTTTAAAAAATATAATTTACATATAATTTAAAAAAGGACACATTCATTCTTTGGACGTCCTTTTTGGGCAACAGTTACAGCAATTGCTTTTTGTTCTTTCATTATTCAGACATATTACACACTTTCAGATTATTTAGAATTTAGAACTATAATAGAAATGCAATTAAAATTTGAACCAGGTAAATTTATAAATGTAAAAATATTTTTAAATAAACACAAATACATTGACGTTAATTTAATAATATTTATCCACCATATCCCATTTAATACATTAATATATTTTTTATCTCCTTAGGCGATGAAAGGAGAATTCCTAAAAGAATAACTTTACCATTTAAATTAATGTTAATCCAAAAATTTATTGTGTATCGGGAGTTACCCTAAACCCGTTAATCGAAACACAAATCAAATCCAGAGACTAACAGTAATACTAGCTTGAAAAGAAAAATATTATTTTTTTAAGAGACTTTTCTAACCCTAACCCCTCAGTTAATTTTTTCAAAATTTTTAGCCCCATTTCCTGCTGCCACTATGTATGTTATTTAATATAAAATTAATATTTAAAAAATATCTACATATTATTTTTAAATTAAGTTGCAATTTAAATGCATTTAAACTTTCTGAAGTTCGGAAATATGAAGAGATTGAGCAAGGGGTTAATTATTAAATAAAATAAAATTAATTTTATTTTTAGATTCAACTTTGGGAAAGGGCTATATCTACTTTGGATCGTTTCAAACAAACAGAATCAAATCCAGAAAATAACAGTAATAAACGCTTGAAAAGACAACAAGCTGTTTATAGGCCTATTTTGGCTAGGCAAAAGAATATTTATAATATTTATATTTTAAAAAGAATTTTTTAGATGTGTTTGTACACATTATGATGATCAATGTGTTCCACAACAATATTTTCCTGATGAACATAATGTGAATATTTTTTTATTTTTGAAATTAAAGACAATTGTTTAATTTCAAAATAAAATCCATTTAACTTACAATTAGACGAAGATTACATTAAAGAAAATTAATAAGGAGTTTTAGGTCTTGAAATTTAGCTTCCTGTGTTTCTAGCTGATTTAAATTATAATTCCAAGATTTTCCAAATTATATTTTCTCATTTTAAAGAAAAATTCTTCTGTTTGTCTTTGCTATGAAGATCAACAAACGGGGGATATATGGCCCTGTTATGCTCATTTTGTTTGGAAACAAAAAGTTCATCTTAAATATTTTTCTAAAAATATTTAGTATTAATTTAATTAGCATTGTTCTTTTTGTTCTCATTCAAATACTTGTGACGATCCAGACCTTCCAAATAATAAAACTAATATTAAATTAACTTCACCATCAATTCCCTGCCTTTGCCAGCCAATCTCTCATTATTGTATTAAAGATAGCAGAAAATTGGGACAGGATTTTAAATGGTTTTTGAACATTTAAGTGAATTATAAAATTATAAAAAATAGGTGGAATCCACACAATTATACAATATATCCTTTTACAACACGCCCACCACCTTCAGAATTGGAAGAAGCTTTTGGACTTGAAGTAAATTAATTTATATTATTTAAGCTAATCTATATTTTTGAACTATTTCCTTAGCTAAAATAATTAGATTGGGGAATTTATCAAAAAAAATAATTCTAGACCTTTGAGTTTCCCCTTCCTGATGGCATTATTCTGAAATTAGCATTTATATGAATTATAATTTCTTTTTACTTTTAAAGGATTTAAAAGATAGAGGTGCCATCACTACACGAACAAAAGAAAATTTAATTTTTCTTGGTAATCTACATATACCAATAAATAAATTTTAAAAAAATCTAAATTTTCCAGTCGCTGGAATGTCTCGACAAATAAGGCAAAGTTTAAGCTATACTTTACATGAATTTGTACTTCGATGTTCTTTTAACAGTAAAGATTGCGATTTAAATAGGTTTAAATATTATTTTTTGAAAATTAAAAAAATTTTTTAAGAGATTTTCAAATTCAAATTGATCCAGAATATGGAAATTGGTAAAATAAGGAATTATTAAATAAATATGTTAATTTTTTTATTAAAAGTTGGACTTTTAATTTTAATGATTCTGTTGAGGTTAATGATCTTTAAATATTTTTTGATTATTTAAAATATTTCTCTCATCATTCTCTTTGTTTTTAGTTAAAAAATTCCCGTGCAGGTCCTATGTATGGACTTAGGCTTTTACTTAATGTAAATCAAAGTGATTATATGCCTACAACTGAGGCTGCTGGAGTAAATATTTAAAATAAAAATTTTAAAAATTATTTTATTAGGTTAGAATTGTTGTACACGAACAAGACCAAGAACCCTTTCCCGATACTTTTGGTAATTTTTAATGAGCATTAAAAATATTTCTTATTATTTCTAAAAAGGTTACTCAGCCCCAACCGGTTTTGTTTCCTCATTTGGATTAAAAACAAAAATTCTCCATCGTTTGGATGCTCCATATGGAAAATGTTCTGACACTTTTCGACCTGCTGGCTATATTTATGCTGAACATTATTCCCCTGAAGTAATTTTTTTCTAAACTTGATTGTTTAAAAATGATCCATGATTACCTATATAATTTTTAAGTCCCGAGGATTAATTTTTTTTTAATTTCAGGGCTGCTACCGTAACTGTTTGTTTTATATAATTTTTCCATGAAAATCCATCTTGTTACTTTAAATATTAAACAGGCTTTCAGCATATAATTTTGGAACGTTGTGGGTGTGGAGATCCTCGTAATTATTTGTTAAAGAAAATTAATTCCAAAAAATATTTTCATGTTTCCCACTACCCAACGAAAGCGAGGACCGTCCTTGTGATGCCCGAAATCCGAAAGAACGTGCTTGTTTGTCCAATCAAACAGCTGTCTTGGGAGGCTTTCATCATTTAACACACGATTGTCATTGTGTACAGCCTTGCACTGGTGATTTAAATTTTCTCATGTACCCCGAAATATTTTTTGGCATAACTTAACCTCCTCCCCAAACCCAGTCCCGCAACCAACTTGAGAACCTCATACCCAGACATACCCACTATCGAACGTTCGGGCTATAACTTTAATTTACATAAGTACATTTTAAATTAAATATTTTTGTAGAAAATACATTCGAAACTGCTTATTCAGCAGCTTCTTGGCCAGCCCAAAATTTTAATATTGGACAAGATGATTGTGCTCTAGTTTTGGGAAATAATTTTACAATGGCTTCTTGCACAGAGTTTAAAAAATTGAAAAAAATATTTTTTAAGATTTAATTTTTATTTCTCTTTAAAGATATTATCGAAAGAATACTGCTTACATAGAAATCTATTATGAGCAATTGAACTATGAGAAACTTAAAGAAACACCTGGATATACGGCTAGTTTTTTACTTTGTTCCTATTATTTAATTCAATCTCACAATTATAAAAAAATTATTAACAACTACATATTAACTCATCTCTTATGGCAGAGGCGGGTCGGAATCCGGATTTTTGATGGATTTGGAATTTCTGACCTACCTCTGTCTTGTAATCAGTGATATCAACCTCCTTTTTATTTTATTAAATTATTCTCAGATTTTTTAGTTAGTCAATTTGTTTTCTGATCTCGGAGGAAATATCGGTCTTTGGATTGGATTTTCATTAATTACTGTCCTCGAAATTGTCGAACTTGTATTTGAATGTTTTGCTTATGGGTGTAAACAATGTATTTATCGACCATTACAACGCAAAGCACAAATGAGACGTAATAGAAGGCAAAGTTTGAATGAAGAGAATTTAAATGGAGAAATTGAACAAAAGGAAGGGTTTAGGTTAGATTTAAAAGGATGTAAAGCAGGGCTAGATGAAATCTAAGAATAAAAAGAATAATAATCTCTCCCCCTCTAAGAATAATCTCTCCCCTTTCGGATGTTACTCTCTGAACGATTTACTCCCGTTTTTACCAAACAGACAGATACATACCAAAAAATTCATTAGATAGTTTTAAATCCTACATACATGTGGCTCTCAAGAATTAGTATGTTCAGAATTTCTGAGACCCAATTTCAAACTTTTATGTGGACGTTTATGTAATTCCATCAATTATTCAGACATGCTGGAACCAAAATATCTCGTCATATTTCTCTACTTGAACCTGGATATTTAAATGAAGGGCCCGCTCAAGGAGGGCACGGTCACCAATATCAACGGCGTTGGGCTGGAACAATGAGGAATTGGAAAAGACCAACAACAACACAATATCCTAAAAATATTCCTCCATTTTTTGAACAAAAATTTGGGGACATTCAAAAAGAAAAGAAAAATGAAAATGGATCCCTTCATGACACATACATTTATACGGTAGGTTTTTGATTCTTCCCTCCCTTCTCAAAAAATCATTTTTAAAAATAGCAAAACTTTTAAAATAAAATTTCTCTCAAAAATATATTTTAGTATTCATTTGAGAATCCTTTAGAAGAGAAAAAAGGAGGTGCTTCACCCAGCAAAGCAACAACACATTTTCCTGCTTTATTATAAATATTTGAACAAAGAAAATTGAAATTATAATTTAATTTTATTATATAAGTAAATTTTGTGTAAACCTTTGTGTCCATCCAACCCCCTATTTTTAATCTACAAAAAATTTTTTTCACAAAAAAATACATTTTGAATTTATTTTTTTTTATTTTGCAATTAATTTACATAAATATATTCACAAATGTTTATTTGACTAGTCATCATTTCTATGATCACATTTACATAAACACATTATTTGTCCATTAAACAGACATTTTCTTCCCCTTTTTGATCCTTCACAAATGTTTATAAAATGGTTAAATATATTGTTTAATTTTTAGTTTAATCTTAAACCTAAATCTACACACAAATTATTGGTCACAATTATTTTTGTGTTTTAAAAAACATTTATTTTTATTCTTCACAATTTTCATCATTTAAATATTTAAAATTTATTTTTTAAAGAATTTTTATTAAAGTTTTTTTTCAAAAATAATTTTCTCCTTTGATGGAGGATACAGCTACAGAAAAATCATTTGATGGGTGTGATGAGCCGTGTAACTCTGTCTGTTCTTCTCTTTATCAAGAAATGAGCGATAAATATTATGCTCTTGAAGTATTGAAAAAAAGAATATTTTTTAATTTTTAAATTTAATTTTCATTGTTTAGTCGGTGGTGGCTAGTCTTTCTAAAAAAATTAATGATCTCGATCTTCACAGGAAAATTGAAGATCTTCAAAATCAACTAACTACCACTACCTTAAATCAAAATTTAAGTATTAGCGATTGCAATACTAAAGTATTTGATGTTATTGCAAAAATTGAAGGAATTAATGTAAATAGGAGTTTAAAGTTTAAAAATTTAGTAAAATATTATTAAGGAAATAAAGCGTGAAATTGATGGAAAGATTACAAAGTGGAGCGAAATTATGGCTAAGAATATTCCGACGCTGCCTTCAACTGTGAACTTTTGTTTTTAATTTTGCAAATTTTTAAAAGCAATTTTTTTATTTTTTAGGATTGTTGAAAATTAATCTTAAAGTTCTTTAAAAATTTGTCCAAATTTAAAAAATGTCCAAATTAAAAAAATTATTTTGGTTCATGAAATTGGTTCATGGACTTTTGGTTCATGTCCAAATTTTTTTCCTTCCTTCCAAAATTCCTTTCGATCTTGCTTTGGCATGCATCTTTTTAATCATAAAAAGGCTGAAAAATAAAATTTTCAGATTCAGCTTTTAAATATTTTTGTCAATTTTTATTCGTTTATCTGTCCTTCTCCAACTTCCAATTTCTTCTCCAAAATTTAATTTTATTTTTTTTCAAATTCATTTTTAGATCTACAAACATTGCGAAAATAAATTAGACAAAATTTCTGACACCCAAAGTTGTTGTGATCAGAATTGTAAAAATTCCAACGGTCTCTGTAATAACGGCAATGGAGTCGTTAAAATTCGTTCGGGAGGGAATTCTGCCGTTTATCACAGTTCTACACAAATTGACAGTTTTGGGAAATTTTTGAATTTTTTAAAAATAAAATTAATTTTAAGAAGAAAATCGTTTTGTGATGGTTTTCGCCGAAAACAAAAATATGGGTGCTAATATTCCAGCTGACATTCCAGATAATGTTTATGTTACTTTTTATTGTGAAATGACTGTTTTAATTGATGAGGATGATGGAAATAGGTAGGGGATTTTTTGAGGGGAGAGAGGGGTTTTTAAGTTAAGGATGGTCTTGTTAGAATATGTAGCTAAATTTAGTATAAGGCTATGTTTAAATAATTATTTGATTTTTTGAATGAATGAATTTTTGGTAAAAATTTTCTTATTAGTTGTGATGTTCAAGTTGGACTTTTGAAGGACGAGAATACCTATTATCGTATTGGCAAAGACGGAAAGTACCACACAACTGACAGAAACAACAACACTATTTTTAGCGATCCAATTGATGGAAATTTTGTCTTAGGTATTGGGCAGACTTTTGCACCTCGAAATATGCCGTCTGCTAAAATGCAACTTTTCTTTACTAAAGATGGAACAAAAATTCGTAAAAAAAATTATTTTCTGAAATAAAAAACCTTTTCAAGGCAAAACTTTTCTTGTGGATGAGGAAGATATGCTTCCACATGTTATTATGAAAAATGTCAATGTTCTGGTTAATTTTGGGAATGATCCAGCCAAGCCTTTTGTTTATGACATCAATAATCACGAGGCTGCATATTGAGGTCGATTAAACAAAAAAACTTGAATGGAAAAGAATTGAGAATTTAAATTAAATGCTTTGATTTCTTAAGTAACATTTACTGAATAATAGGAAGAGAAATTGGGAAATGATTTTTGGAATTTTTAAATAATTTTTAGAAACCGACTTTAATATTAAATTTTTGTAAATTGGGTGAGGATATTATTTTTTCGATCTTAATTTTCTAACCAAAATTAAAAATCATTTACCAAAATTTCTACTTTAAAAATTTTTTGGTTTTTATATTAACAACCTTTACAAAAATTTTTTTAATTCACTGATTTTTTGATAAATTAAATAAATAATTTGACAATTTTCTGTTGTTGAAGATGATTTTATATAATCGAGACAAAGTTTTTATCCTCAATTTTATTGTGGCTAAGATTTTAAGTATCCCAAAAACTAACTGTATCGCATGAATTGAGAATTTGAAATTTTAGAGCTCAAATTTCCTCTGGGCCCAATTTTCCAAAAAGTCATAACCTGGTTTTCCGAAAAATCTTGGAGCCCAATTTTTCCGCGACTCCTAGCTCGAAATGTACACAAGATCAACAGATTCTACTAATTATGAGAAATATAATTTTATATTTTATCTTGCAAAATTAAATAAAAAATTTATTTTATTACAATAGATATGTAGTTAATTTGAATATTTCGAGGTATGTTTAGGTATTATTTATTATTACGAAATAGATATTTAATTATTTTTAGAATTATAGTATTTTTTAATGTTTCTAAAGCCCATATTTTACAATAAACTTCTCCCATCTTTTTATTTTTGATTTATGAGTTAATATGAATATCACTTTTTTTATAAATACAATACTTTCCATCTCCTCCATTATCATCCTCCATATCAAGAACTTTTGGATTTTTACCTTGATCATTTCCTTCGAATGTTTTACAAGGAAATACTTGATTTGCGTTTGGTCCAAGAATATGAATATTTTTGAGGGTAGCTACATCTCCATAATTTTTATTTACTCCAACAACATATTGCCCAATCTCGAGGCTTTCTATAGTTAATCCATTCACATTTATTTTACGGTTACGATACTGTGGGTGACAATTACCACAAGTACGTATTCCTTGTCCACATGTATGAATCTAAAATTTTTTTTAATTTGACTTAATAAAGGGGATAATGAAATAGTCCATTAATTAAAAAGACTGGTAAATTTATGTGTGAAAATACAAACATAAAAATTGTTGACATTTAGTGTTCCAGCCCCGTCAAATTGTATTATTTTCCCTTTTCCATTTTTTGCACCTCCACCACGAATCGTATATACTGCACCTGGATTACTCCCTTAAAATTTTATTTTTAAACATTTTTAAGTATTTTTTAAAGTTCGAGCTGTGAACTATACAAATCTACTAATATTAAATTTCTCTAATAAATTATGTTTGGCAATTCAGAAAGGGTACACCCCAACCTACCGCCGAGGCTATAACTTCGTTCAAAATTGTCGAATCTGAGACAACTTGGTATGGTTGCTTGTCGAGGCGTATCGATTCAGCTCGCCGAGGCGTATCGAACCATACCAAGGCGTCCCGGATTCGACAATTCTGAAAGAAGTTATAGCCTCGGCGGTAGGTTGGGCTGCGGTAGGTTGGCCTGCTCCCGTTCAGAAACCTCCCCCCCCCTTTATTTTAAATTATTTCTAACCAAGAAGGGTAATAGAATCATCCGCAACATTTTCATTCCAACAATCTTCTACAATACAACTTCCATTACAATGAATTCCATCAGCCCCAGAGAAAATACATCTTTTTATCGTAGCTCCTTCTTGCAGTTGAAATACCGGAAACATAAATTCTCCACTCCCCCACTTTCCATTTTTTAAATTTGGCACATAACGATTATATCCACAATCGAGGTATTTACTTACAGGGAAAGTTTGCTCTAACTAAATAAATAAATTTTAAATAAATATACATATTTAAATATTCATACATTAATTGTATTTTTAGCTTGAGGCCAATCAACACAAAAACAACCTTCAAAAAACATTGGAAAACCAAAAATAACCAACAAAATACTAATCATTTTTTATAATTTTTTATTACTTTATTTATTATTGTTTACCCTAAAAATTTTTATAAATTAATTTTAAATTAGAAAAGGATTATTAAAATTTATTTGAAACAGAAGGATTAAAAAAAGAATAAAAAGAATAGAGAAAATTTTTAATCAGTATATCCACAGAGACCCACAGACTACGTATAACCAGTATTAATTCCCCTCCCCCTCCAGCAAATAATTACCCCACTTCCATTAATTACCCCCTCACAAATACACTAAAACACGTTCAAATTTCAACCCTCATATAATTACCCTCCCTCGATTAATTACTCCCCCCAGCGGAAGGTCGAAACATTAATTACCCAGGGTAATTATTAAAGGATTTACGGTAAACTTCAATGAGAAACTTTTAGTTAAGAAAATATAAAAATTAATTAACTTTAGCCCTATCACTTAATTTAAAATATTTTATATTTTTTGGATTAAAATCCTTAAGACAAAGTCTCGAATTTGGAAATTGGTGAGACCATTTAGTTTATTTCTTTAAACAAATAAAATATAAAGAGAAAGGCAAAAAAGAATATTTTAAAATAATTTCTTGTGAGTATTTTGTAGCATTTTTATATAAATATTTTTAATCAAAGCTAAACAAATAATTATTTCCCTTTTCGTATATTTTAGAAGAAAATTCTTTTTTTTTGTTAAATTTTAATTGAAATTTGTTTGTTCAATCATTTTAAATTTTCCACATTTAATAAAAGCTAGACAGGAAATTTAAAAAAAATTTTTTAAATTTTATAAAAAATTTATTCTGTTAAAACCAAATAAAAAATATAATTTATTAAATAATTTTATTTTACTCGATCTCTATTTAAAAATATTTTTAATTAACTTTAATTAAAAGGATTTATTTCTATTTATGTAATTATTTTGACTTTTTCTATCACCGAAGATTTTTTTCTTAAAAAAAATTTAAGAAGAAACTCGAATTTAATTTTTTATTTAAATAAGGAGTATTCTTAATACTGTATAAGTGGTGCCACCTTTTTTTGCCTTATCTTTCTGCAAAAAGCTAATTATATTAATCCGCAAAATTATCCAGGAGGGAGGCAGTAAATTTAAAATATTTAACAAAATATTTAAATAAAAATTTTAAACTGAAATATATTGAGAGTTTGAAGAAAATCTTGTTTTCAATAATTCCTGGCTTGTTTTAATTTTTTCAGTTTTTTTCACATTACCCTAGTTGTAAACAACAAAAAATAATTTACCGAAATAAGAAATTTAAACTAAAAAATATGTACAGTTTTACAATTAAATAAAAAATATGTTGGGGAACAGAATTCACAGAATTCTACATGATAATAGAGGATTGTTAGTTTTAAGGATAAATTATATATCATTCGATAGAGCTCGTTGAGATGAATTGAATAAAACAAAAATCAGTCTAATTCAATGATTTTTAAACAAAATTATAGATTTCTAATCCAAAAATGGTTTAAAATTTTGTTTAAAAAAATTAAAAAACAAAGAAATCCTTGTTTTTTAATTTTTGGGGAGTTTGAAATTGTTTACTATATGTACATATTTTTCATTGGAAAGAAATAATTTGATATTCATCTTCAATTATCTGTGAGGGATCGAATGGTATATCAACGAGTTTCGAACGGTTACCACATAAAATAAAACCGAAAGGATAAAAAATTTGTGGAAGATAACTGGATATCACAAATCAATTTATCTTAAAAATATCACTCTTTATCATCATCGGTGTCAGAAAGGTCAGAAGGATCGCCGAGCTATAAATTAATAAATTTTAATTAAGTTTTCAAAATTAAAAAAAATAATACTCACAAGCGTTAAATTTAGTCCTCTAAAATCTAAAAATATATTTTTTAGTTATTTATTTTGAAAGGATTTAATAGTTATTTATCTTTTTAATCTAGATTATAATTTGAAATAAAATACCAGCTAATGAGTCGATAGACGAACCAGACTCATATCCTCCATCGTTTTCTTCATCATTTTCAGCAGGAGGTTCTACATCAGATTCTTCTCCCTCGCTTTCACTTTCACTATCACTTTCGTCATCAAAATCATAATAACTACATCCATCGTTGCCTGCATCACAATAAACATTTTTGATAATAAACACCAAAAATAATAAAAATAAAAGGATTTGAACAGATTTAATGAATTTAGTCATTTTTGAATTTTTTTTAAATTTTCTATTGTAAAAATAAGATTTACAAAATACTATTTGGTTAAATTTATTAAATAAACACAAGTTATACAGAATATGTTTTCGTTATTATTCGAAAATAGATTATTAGTGTTGTTTAAAAAGAGGAACGTTAAGGATTGAAGCAAATTTATCCTAAAATTCTTCAAAACTTTATTTATTGTTATTAAATAATTATTTTCTAGGATTCTAAGAATTTTAAAAATAATGAGAAGTAATTTAAAATTTCTCTAAGTAATCCTTAAAAAATTTTATTCTTGGTAAGAATTATAATTAATGAATTAATTTGTCTCATAAGATAAAGAAATCTATAAAAATCAATTTTAATCCAGCAGAATCTATTTTAAAAATTTTAAAAATTGATTTAATATAAATAAAAAAAGGCTTTAAACTAAAAAACTAAAAAAACTTCCAAACTTCGAAACTTTTAAAAAATTACAATTCTATTAAAATTGATATTTTTTGTTGAATTTTTCCTTAAAATAATAAAAAATCAAATTTTTTCTTTATAAAGTCAAAACTTAAATTAAAACGAAAAAGGAGAGATTTTGAGAAAAATTGGCTGATTAAAAGGTAATTATGTAATTTAGTGAAAATACACAACTTGTGCCATATAAAACTAGACGTTAATATTTTTCTAAAAATTAGATTAATTTCTCATAGAAGCTAGCCAATGTTAAGTTAATAAATTATTAAACCCAACTTTGACAATTTAAGAATTAAATTTTAAACAAATTGAGCCAAAATGATAAATGAGCCAATGAGCCAAAATGATAAATGAGCTAAGAATGAAAAGAGGGAATAAAAAGTGCGTAATCTCTCGGACAGAAGAGAGACCTTCAAATTAGTGATAGTGGTTCGTTGGATCTACAGGTATCCAAAACCGTAACCTTAGCATTAAATTGTGAAAATAATTCATTGACAGAGAGAGTCTAGAGAATTGTCGGGATTTTGGAATAATGAACCCGATACCGTCCGCCTGCGGGATCGGGATTGGCCGAAAGCGGGACGAATTGAGATCGGGATTGAAAAATCGAGATCGGTAGTTTATTTAAAGATTTTTAAAAAATTTTAAATTTTTATAAATAAATTAATTTTCACTTTAAAAAAGTTTCTAACATTATTAAATGAAACATTTAGAAACAGTGAAGACCTTCCAAATGTACCGATATCCATTTTAATCGTCCAAACCCTACTAAATCCCCGATATACTTCTAATCCAAATCTGCTTTGAAGGAATAAAGAGTATATGTTCATTATTGTATATATATATGTTTCATTATTAAACTAGATAAAAGTTCCGGCTGAGTAGAATAAAAGCTCCGTCTTGCAGGAGATAATAGTTCCGGCTCCAGAACGATTTGGTTGAAATCGAAAACTCTACAATAAATCAGCACCAAACCAAGAAATCAGCCCAGTATCGGCTAAATATTTAATCTTTATCTAAATATTCATCCAACCCCTATTCACTTCCTCATAGAATCTAATTTTGTGGAGAGAATTTGTAGAGAAATTTTTGAAAGGATAACTCCTAAATCGCATGATGTACTCCAACTCCGAAAACCAGATTTAATTCTTTTTTTAGTGCCGTAGGCTAGACTTATTTAGGCTTATTTAAAAATAACTTAAATAAGAAATTTTAACTAAAAATAAATACAGTTTTACAATTAAACACAAAAATATGTTGGGGAACAGAATTCACAGAATTCTACATGATAATCGAGGATTGATAGTTTTACGGGTAAACTATATATCATTCGATAGAGCTCGTTGAGATGAATTGAATAAAACAAAAATCAGTCTGATTTAATGATTTTGAGCGAAATTTTTAATCCTAAAATGAACTTACTCCTCTTATAGTTTTTTTAATTCTGTAATTTTTCAGGTTTGCTTTTGGCTAACAGAAAATAATAAAATAAATCATACTCCGTTTGTCGTGAAGAATCGAATGATATATGAATGCGGTTACCATATAATAAATAAAGGTGAAATAATTTTTTATCTCCGAGGGTGGAGATAAAAATGGAGGAGACGAATAACCAGATACTACTGGTTTTCTTATAGATACCACTCACTCATCATCATCATCATTACCATCATCATCATCGTCGGTGTCAGTAGGATAATGGCCCTATAAATTATTAAATTCCAATTAAAAATTTTGGTCAACAATTTAATTAAATAATACTCACAGGCAAATTATCAACGTTAATACCTGAAAATAAATTTTTTAATTAAATTTATTTTAATGAAATTTATTTTACATACTTAATCTAAATTAAAATTAAATTACTATATTGAATTTTTAATTGTTAAAGTACCATCTAATGAGTCATCAGACCAATCAGACTCGTGTCCTCCATCGTCTATATCGTTCGGCAGATTGACTTCAATACCTAAAAATAGTTTTTCTTGTTTTTATTTTAATTGGATTTATTTCACTCTTAATCTATATATATTGAATTTTTAATTGTTAAAATACCATCTAATGAGTCGTCAGACCAATATCCTCTTTCTTCAGCAGGAGGTTCTACATCAGATTCTTCTGTATCACTCCCAGTATCATTTTCATCATCAGAACTAAAATAACACTCATCGTCACTATCATCACAATAAACATTTTTGGTAATAAACACCAAAAATAATAAAAATAAAAGGATTTGAACAGATTTAATGAATTTAGTCATTTTTGGAATTTTTTGAATTTTCTATTGTAAAAATGAAATTTACAAAAATAAATAAACACAAATTTATTAAATAAATACTAAATAATTTTGTAGAATTAGAAACTTTAAAAATGCCAATTCCAATTGGAATTGGCATTTTTAAAGTTTGCCAATCCGTTTATTCGATATATCCCCAACTGAGAAAAGCTAATCTCTGTTAATCCCAAAAATCCCCAGCTCTCCATTGCACCCCTACAATTAAAAGAACGATAAATTGTCCAACATAATTCTAGTGTCACACGCATAAAAATTTTTAATTATGAATCAGAATGTGTAATTGAAATAGATACCAAAGAACCGCTGAAACCTAAATTAAAGGCTGCAGTTATTGAGGTGGTGCCGATCTATTAGAGATTGCTGTTCAAATGGAGGCCGCCGCTCAATTAGAGAAAATACGATATTCTTATATTAAAGTGGCCTGTCAAGATCAGATCGGTTTTGACTTTTCGATGTTTTTTCGAAACAGCTCTGGTCAGAATGAATAGTAATAAGTTTTCATAAGGTTATTAAAACTTTATTTATTTATTTTAATTAATTAATTATTTATTTTTTAAATTATTTTCTAAAATTTTAAATATTTAAAAAAAAAGTGATAAATAATTTTAAAATCTTTAATGAATAGAATTGTCTATTGCTTAATAGCCTATCACTTAAAAAAAATTAAAAAAATTTAAAAATTTTCAAAAATCAAAATCGATCTCAACGACAAAAAAATTTTTTTAATTATAATAAAATCGATTAAAAAATATAAAAAAATTCATTAAAATTGTTAATTTTTATTTTTGAAATTTTTATTAAAGTTATCAAAAGTCAAAGTTAGTTATGTTATTTCTCTATTATTTTTTCTTTAAAAGTGGTGTAATTTATGGTGTAATTCATTTGAAATATTTGTACATAGAGTTGTAAATTTCAAATTAGAGCAAATAAAAGAAGATTTTCTGTTCGGTTTTTACATAAACCAATAAAATTAGAAGTTAATATTTTTCTGAAAAAATAAGGTTTCTAGTTTCTTATAGAAGAATTAATATGCCTTAAAGTAACATGAAAAATAATGTTTCCATTGAAAAATAAAATATACAAAATTACGAAGCTAAATATTGAGATTAAACAAAAAATTGAATAGGCTAAAAAATTTTGAAACTGGAACTGCTTTGGAACCGGTTCCAGAACTGAAAATGAAGAAATTCACAAAACAGTTCCAGAACTAGAACCGATTCAAGAGGAATTTTTAATTTTTCCATCACTGTACATAATCTTACTTTTAGTAAAAAATTATTACTGATTTATGTATAACTAAATTATGTTTATTGTTCAATGATTTCTAAAAGATTTCTTAATAAAAGAATTTATAAAAATCAATTTTAGCTAGAAAAATTTATTTAAAAAATTTAACTTTTAAAAGAAATATATTTATTATCCATCATTTTTGCATGAAATACTGTCCGTCTCCAGACAATCTTCATTACTTTAATAAAAATTTCGGTTCCGGGTCCGGATATTCGAGGATTTCCCAGGACCCGCCAACTTTATTCATAAACAACGAAATTTTTCCTCCTAACTCCTCTGATTCTTAAATCAGCGATATCCGTCCAAAACTTCTAATATCCTCCTTAATTCCACCAAATTCCATTTTATTTCTGATTTAGGTATTAAATCTGTAAATTTAATTAAAACCTATAAAAATGTACTATAAATACCCCTTGGATTTATCCTCATTCAACCAACTCAACAGAGGCTCCATTCATCTACTCATCTGCTACTCGTCTACTCACGCTCATTTGTCGACCATGGCTACTCCGATTGCTGTAGATCCTGACTCTGTTGTTGTGGAGGCAAACGGCGGGACTTCACCAATCGTGCTGGAGAATGCAAGTCCTCATGTAAGTCCTCAAGTCCTCCTCCTCCATCCTTTACATCGTTTAATCTTTCTTTTTTCTTTAGAATCGCTACTGCTACAAGGTCAAGTCGACGAACAATGAGCACTACCGTGTCAGCTCTGTCTACGGATTCATTGAACCTCTGGGCTCTGTGAAGATCGACGTGAACCGATTGGTGAGGAGTTTTGGATTTTAAACTTTTAATAACTCGACTGATCTTCTTTTATTTTTTTCTAGCCTGGCCCACCGAAAAGTGATGATCGTCTGGAGATTCTGTTCCAGCCTGTCGAAGCTAGTCAAACTGATCCGAAAGGACCATTCGCCAATGGAGCATCGGAGTTCAAGCTGGATGTGAAGCTGTGCGCGGAATGAAGAGGGCTTTCCTTGAGACGAAGACGATAATAAAAGCTGTGATATTCCCCTCGATAGAAAGTATATGTATGCATCATAAATGTATATATGCCCCCTAAATGTCTTTGTATTAGACCCTCAATTCTTAGCGTTCACTTTGTTGTATAATATATGGTTCTTTTTACTCACCCATTGTTTGTTGTTTTTGTGTATATATTTTGATTCAATAAAAATTGTAAATTTTGTGTTCATTGTTTTGATAGGGTTAAATGCAATATGTATTTCTGTTTGAGCATTGATCAAACTCGAACCTTTTTAATTTTTGAGAGTGCAAGTCCCCATGTAAGGACAGAAACTTCTCTCTGTCTCTTAATCCTTTTCACACCCCTAAGAAGGGCTTTCCTTGCGATGGAGATTATTGTTTTTTTCTACAGATACAACGTAAATCTCTTTTGTCTTTAAAAAATAAACTAAATAAAAAATAAAAAATAAACTATTGTAGTAACAGGCTTGTTATGACACTTTGTTGTGCTGGTAAAGAACGTAAAGCTATTGGAGTTAATTGGTTTTTACGTGTTTAAACGTGTTTTTCTTTCAATTTCAATAGGATTTTAATATTTTTTCATCCCTTATTCTATTTAATTAATTCATTTTGTATCGCTTTCTGATGAAAGCTCCTAAGTTAAATGTTAACACAACCAAAACCATTACCTAATGAGAAAAAATTTTTTTATTCCTAATTTCTTCCCCAAAAATTAAAATAAATTTCTTTAAAAAATTTTCATTTTTAAGACAAAAATATAAAATTTTTATTAACAAATATGTAAAAAAACAAAAATCACATAGAAAATCGAATAATAAAAGAAGCGATTTTGATACAAAAAAGGCATTTTGGCAAATTATTAAACAAATATATATTTTTATTTTTTGGCGTAGAAAAGAAGATTAGAAGAAATTAAATAATAATGTTAGCATTTTTATTTAAAAATTTTTCTTAAAATTTTTAAAATTTTTCCTTAAAAAATTTTTGAAGAATTTTTAAGTAATTCAAACAAAATAGAACCTCTATTTAATGTGAAGATAGATTAATTAATTAAATTTATTTATTGGGCAATTATTAATAAGATTGAAAAATTTTGCGAGAAAAATGGCAAAAGTAAAGAAAGGTATTTTGTGGATAAAACACAATTGAAGAAAAGTTTTTTAATATTTACATAGAAAAATATTTTTATTTTCGAAAGAAATAAGGCTGGCATTAAGGCGCTAATAAAGTTTTAAGTAGTCAATAAAAATATAGGTAACTAAAATTTATCAAAAAAATTTTTGAGTAGGGTTGTCGGTTCTGTATCGAACCAAACCGAAGAACCGATGATTTTTCGATTCGGTTCTTCAGTTCGATTTCGGATATCCCAAAATTTCCCAGGACTCGACAACCCTAGTTATGAGGGTTGAATAAAAGGATGGCATTTCTTTTTTAATGACAGCCTTTATTTTATTTTTAAAAATTAATTTTTAAACACTTTCATTTCCTTCCAAAATTGTTTCTCCAACAGAATCTTGATTTTGTTTTTCCTCTTCCTTTACATTTAAAAGTTGCTTTTCTTCTTTATTTGTCTCAATATTTTCAATTTTAATTGCCTTATCATTTGATTTTAAAGTTTTGTTTGAATTTCCATTTGTTAATTCTTTTTCTTCATCGTCATAGTAAACCTTTGAGAAAAATTATAAAAAAAATATATCGAGAGCGTAATAGAGAATAAAAAATTTTTGGAGAGGAAAGTGATAGATCTGCAACTTAAATTCAGTCACAGACATGGTTTCAATGATTCTCAAAATAATTTCAAGTTCTATTTCGTGGACTTAGTAACGTATAGGTTAAAAATTCAGAAAATTACCATTAAATGGGAACCCGGGATCAAAAAAGGCCCTAATAATTAAAATCTCTTTATTTTTTAATTTCCTAACTTTCAAAACGGCAATCTCTCCAGTACTTATTGTTTGTGTTTCTGCATCTCTCATTTCACATTTTTGGTTTTGTGTTGTTGGAATTGGGAAACCTCCAAAAACATTTCTTATTGTTGGTGAACGGCATTGTCCCATAAGTGATTGAGCTGCCATTGGAGCAGAAACTTTTCTCAAAGGTGGAGGAATATACCCTCCTCCACTGAATGGGGAATTTCCAAAAAGTGGACTTCCAAGTGGGCTTCCTCCATTAAGAAGTGAAGGAGGTTGAATGGATCCTCGACGACGGATGCCTGGAGGGCGATAAATACCTGAAATAAATATTTAAATTTAGACATATTCTCTTTTATTTGGACATATAACAAGACCCAAACACGAATAAATGGGAATGGGACACTTGCCATTCAAAGGGAGTTCCATAAGCGGTTGCGGCAATGGGCGGCGTTGTTGCTGCTGTCCCCCCACTAATTCTGAGCATCCGTTTTGTTGAGCAATATTTCCATTTCTATTTAATACAGGATTTAGTTGCTGCTGTTCCATATTATTAGTTGTTATTGCTTCTATACAGAGTTGTTCAAAAAACTGACGAAGCTGTGGAGGCAATTGGGAGTCCAACAAACGAAAAAGACCGTTAGCCAAACAATGACTTTCCTCACAAGCAGAAAGGAGAATGTCTGGAGTTACAGGACGATCAGCCCAACTTTAAATATTTAAGGTGAAGTTAGAAGAAAAAAAGGAGAGGGCCTTGATTTGATTATTCCCCGGATTTTCAAAATTCTCTAATTATTGACCCTCGCTCTTTTTAAAAAATTTGGAGTAAAAATTACTAACTTTGGTGTTTGTGAAAGTTTTCTAGGACTAATGTCGCTAAGCACCAATGATTGAGGGTTATAAACACGTTGAAGATTAACAAAAGAAATAGCTCTTAATTCTCCCATAGGCTTTCCAAATTTGTGGTGTTGAATGACCGAATGAGCAATCTACAATGATATTCAAATTAATTTTTAAATAACAAGAAAAGGTGATTTATTATTTATAATGCCTAGTGAAATCAAATTCAGATTTGTCTAAATTGTGTTGAACCAAATCATGTACATTTGGTTCGATAACCAAATAATGTAAGACACAATTGGCAAGATACCCAACCAAAGGAAAGGGTTAAAAATCTGCTAAATTTTCTTTTTACAAACCCCATCCTAGCAGAACGTTTCCTTCCCTCTACATTTTTTAATATTTCAAAACTTCCAAATAACCTGTGTATCAAAAACATTTTTAATTTCAATTCCATATCTTTGTCCAAGTAACCAGGCAGCTCTTCTAACATCATGAGTTACTTTAATAATTTTATCTGATTCTAATAATTCCCCAAGACTTCCTTTATCAGTTAATATTCCTTCACAATGTGCCAAATCAAAAACAATTAATTGTCCTTGTTGTTGTGATTTTTTATTTGTTAAAGGAGTTGAAACAATTACTAGGGCAACAAATTGTTCAGATGGGGTATGATGAGAACCACCACCAAGACAGACAAGTTTAAAATCAACAACTAGAAAGTTGGAAGGGTCGTTGGGTAAAGCTGCTTCTAAGTCTGATTTTAGAGAAGCTACGGCATCCTTTAAATAGAAATAGGGGGTTATTTACATATTTAATAATATTAGCAAGGCCTAAACAGAGCCTATAAATTTCAAATTTGCTCCCTCCACCTACCACCTCTATTTTTGGCCTCGTACCTCGTATTTACTCGTACTTGAGAAAAAAGTAAAAAATCTAGGATCTTTATGATTCTTTGGAGCCTAAAGTGCTTTTATTTTAAAGGATTACTTTGAACAAAAAAATTGTTTGGATGTCCAGTAAAATAAAAATTTATTTCCAGGCTCAAAAAAACTAGCGAATGAGTGAAAATCTTTTAAACTATCCCAGTGAACAACAAAAATATTAATTTAACTTAATAAAATTATTTACTACCTGTGCTTTTTTCAAAGTATTAACAAATTGTACATAGTGTAAATTATCTCTACATAAAGGAAACATAACTGGTGATATAATATTTGTAACTGAATTATTTTTTGTTGTTGTAATAACTTCTGGACTTGCAACATTACTTCTTTCACTAGAAGAGGAAGAAGAACCTGTTGTATTTCCTCCACCCCCAATATCCTCTGTAGATCTTCCACTTTCAGAATCTTGTTGTTCTTCAGATGTTGGTATACGATTTTTAACTAATTGAACTTTATTTGAACGAATGAAGAAAAGATGACGATTTAATTTTAGAAACATTAATAATTCCTTTAAAAAATAGAGAAAAATTTAAATTTTTTAAAAATGAAATTAAGGGGAAAATTAATAATATATAGTGCAGTTTGAGTGAATTCTCAACAAGTATCCCCAGGGTAACTGGTTAATGTACAATCTACAGATAGTTTTCTTGTTCCCGAGAGGATCAAGTTTAAATTTAAGGTACTAGAAGGTACTAAAAATATTTTTGGTAATTTTGTAATTTCTAAAATTTCTATTTAATTTATTATCTTGAATAAAATTAACAATTATTTTTATATTTTAATTAATTTTAAGAAAAACTCGTAACTAATAGCCATTTACAAAAAAAATAAAATTATTACCTTAGGATTTGTAGCAACTTCCTGTCGAATATGATGGGGAAAATGTTCACAGAATTTTTTGTAAAATAAATCAAGTGGATAAGGCTGTTCTTCGTTCTTTTAAATAATTTTATTTAAAATTTAAGTCTATTTTTACTTGTTCCAGAACAGATTTCATAAATTCAATAGCTGCCAATTTTGCTTTGTGCCCAGCTAATGGACGCCCTTCTTCATCAACAAATTCATCAGGACAAGTTTTTGGTTCTGACATATTTGCTAATCTTACTCTATCACCTTCGACAACAAAATGGTCGATTTGTGAGGCCAGAAACTCGGCAAACTCTTTTAGGTGACGACCCGAAACTAAACGGATTTCTGGTGCTGCTTGGGAACGATGGCCTGTTTGAAATAAAAATATATGATAAATATTTGGGTAATAATTAATTATTTTTATTCAATATAGAATACAAGTACCACATGAAGACTAATTAAAGGTATGCACGTTAATATAACGTGTCTTAAATTAAGGTAATCGAGGTGCATTGAGTGTATAACAAGTGAGATAATCTAAAAGGAACAAGTCGCAATCCGTCTCACTAAGATTGAATTCAAGAATTTAATTTAAAAAAATAATGACATTCTATTTTAACTAATTGCCCTAATTTAATACTATTTTAAAATTAAGAGACCAATTAATTGTTTGTAAATAAATCATTAAAATTAAAAAATAATTAACCAAGCAATGATTTAATCTGCAATTCAGGCCCAAATTTTTCCAATTTTTTAACAAAAAATTGGACAGCTTCTGCTGCGTAGTCTCTAAAGAAACAAAAAATAATTTAATAAAATAATTTTTTGCCTTTGTCGACCAGTAGCAGGAATATGCATAAGGTGATTTTTTCCTTCGACCTCACCAAATCCTTTCAGAATTACCTTCAAAATAGAATAATGAACAACTATATTGCTTTATTTAAAAATAATAAATCATATGTGTATTTGTAAATATTTATCATTCTCTCGCACTAACAAAATTTTACAAAATAATAACAGATTAGTAGTAAATACTTGACAATTTTGCATATTAAATACAAAGTATTCAGTAATATCATAAACAGCAAGAATATTTTTAGTAAAGGTTTTAAATTCCGAAATAAAAAGTTGTAATGATTGAGAGAATTCTTTTCAAGGTAAGAAATTTCGAGGGTAAAGTGGGGTCTTCCGAAATATTCAAATGATGTTTTGTATGTGGATGTTTTTTTAATAATGGTAAGGGTCAAAAGACAGAGAATTTTAAATAAAACATTAAAATAATTTTTAAAAACAATAACTAACTTGGTCCCCATCTAAAACAAATAAAGATGGAAATTGCCCGAGAAACTCTGTTAGGCCTTCCTGCAAAAGCAAAATTTGATTAAAATTTACTGGATGCTTTTTAATAAATAGTACCTGAGTGGTACCGACAGACTGACGCATTTCTTCTGTAAAGCCGCGTGCGCCGAATTGACCTGGATTAAAATTAAAATAAAAATGATTCGTGGACTAGAAAAACATTAGTTATGGCTTAACTAGAATTATTCGTTAGCATTTTTTAAATTAAGTAACGGCTGAAGTTACCTACAAATTTGATTTTAAAATTTAATCCAAACCTTCATTCGCTATCATTTTTAATAATTAAAAAATATTTTTAATTTATTTTTTTAATTTACGATATTAAATGAAAAAAAGAGAATATAATTTCTCTTTTTATTTAAATAATTATTTAAATTTCTAAATCCAAATCCTATAAAAATTATTTAAAAAAATATTTCCATAAGTTCCGCCCTTCCTTTCCCTTCCCTTCCATTTCCCCCTTTCCCCTAAAACTTACAACTTAAATCGTGTATAGTCCGTTGTCCTCCCTTTAGCATTAAATGGTCTACAAAAAAGAGAAGTGCCATATTACGAGCCTCGTCCATTTTTAAATATAAAAATTTTTAGGACGATTTATGAAGGCAGAAAAGAATTTATTTGTTGTTTTTATTTAATAAAAATATGGAAAGAAGACAATTTATTTTTGTCAGGAGTTTTAGGGAAATGGCCGGGACGGGCCCCGTCGATGGTAGAATATACCCTCACCTGGAAAAATTTAAAGGATTTAAATAAAAAATATTAAAAATATGTAAGTCTGTCACATTGAAAATTTTAAAAAGATTAGGAGAGAGGAAAAAAATGTTAAAGATTTTACATAAAATTTTATAAAGAAGGAAGTTTTATTTTTGTTAATAGAAAAAATATTACTAATAAATTTGAATATTAAATTTAAAAAAATTTTATATAGTTAAGTGATAGGGTGAAATCCTTAAATGGAAATGGAAATTAGTTTGCTTTACCTCCTTTGTAGCTAACTAGCCTTTGGAGAATAATTCGAAAGATAGAAGGTTAATCAGCTAGCCACAAATTAAAGGAAACACATACGTTATTTTTTCTGAAAAATCAGGATAGTAAATAGAAAATTGGGCATCAAAATTTTGTGTCGAATTTTCTGAATGTTTTCTTCTTCCTATTTCCGACATTTGGACTAAATTCAATTTCCTACACCTCCGCTGAAATGATCCACGTCAGGATAATTCTACAAATTTTTATTCTTGTAGATTTATATTCTAGAAAAATATTGTGAACGAAAGGAAGAAGCGGGGAAATTAATTAAAATGCACAACAATTTGTACAGAAAAAATAAAAGAATAATTTTAAAGAATTATTTAAAATGCTAGCAATAATTGCTAACTGCAAATAGTAAAATTTTCTTTAGCAGCAAAAAAATATATTTTAATTAAAGATAAATTTTAATTAACGGAATTTCTAATTCAAATAAAATTTCCCTTTTAGCCTACATATGTAAGTATATGTATACCAAAATATCTAAGTTAAAATTAAAAACAGCTGTTTTATATTCTATTTTTATATCTTCAAAATAAAAATATTTTTTTATTTATTTTTTGAATGCTAGTAAATATATATTTTATGATAGATTATATCTAGTACTTAAAGGTAAAAAAAGGTTAAAAAAATAAAAAAAAGCACCGTTTATTTTTTAAATTTGTTTTGCTTAAAAAATTAATTATTAATGAAGATTAATTGAATTAATGGATAATTTGATTAATTTTGTTAGGAAGTAGGTATTGAATTTTAATTTTATTATTAAAATTTAATTGAAATTTATTAGTAAGTTCTTAAAATAAATACATTATTTACTCAAATACTCAAATACAAAAGTAAATACTAAAAAATTTAAATTAAAAAATTAATTAGGTAATCAATCTATCACAATAGAGGGTAATAAAAAATTAATAGAGCCGGGGTAACTATTTGAGGTTATTTTAGAAAGGCTAATTATTAGAGACATCCAAGACCGAAAATTTTCTAAGACTCAAAACAAAGAGTTCTTGGAAGTCTCTACTAATTATAGCTGTTTTTAAGGGGGTAATTATTTTTCAACCCTTGACTGAAGTAGCTCATTAATAGGGAGGGGGTAATTGTAAGAGTAAATACAGTAACTTAATTGTTTTACAAAAAATATTTAGGTATATAAAAATAAATAAATTGTTTGGCAAAAGAAAAATTATTTTTTTATTTTATTTACTTTTTTTAATCACTTCGTGGCTGTTTTAACACCTAACTAATCCAATTGATTTTGTAATACTATTTCTTTTTTAAATAAAAAAAAAGTTATAAATTATAAAAAGTGCTACCATTAAAAAAGTGGCCTTATATAAATATTTTTATTTAAAATTTAAAGAAAATATTTTCTTTCATTTATGTTTACCCTGTTATCTTTTAAATTAATTATTATTGTGGAAAGGTTAAAAATGAAGAAAACAAAAGAAAATGATTAATTAAGAAAGGAAGAGAATTAATTAAAAAATAAATAAAATTATTTTAAGGGAAATTGAGAAAAATTGTAAGTATTTTAAATAATAAAAGGAGTGAAACAAAAGAAATTATATTTGAAGATTAGGAAGGGAAATATGGGATATGAAACTCGACTTTGGATAAATAAGAAATATGAAAAAAGTCCTAATTTTTGGTAGCAGTGAATAAGTAAAAAGAAAAAATGTGGCTTATATCAAAATATAGGGGCGATCTGTTAAGGGATTTAGACTGACTAAATTACCTATTTTATAAAATAGAAAGTGATTAAGTTAATTAAAAATTAAAATAAAATAAAAAGTACAACAAAAAGTTTTGCAGAAAAAAATTTTTTATTGGGTGGTAAAACGAATTAGCCACTAATAAATTAACTGGTAAAGAAAGGTTAATTGATTTGAAGAAAGAAATGAACGAGAAAATGGAAAAAGTGGTTTTTTGTTAATAACGATAAATGCGCGACATGAATCGCTAAATAAAGACAGCCCCCCCCTCTCCCTCCCCTCCCCTCTCCTCCCATTCCCTCTTTTTCCTTTCAATTTATTTTCCAATCTTTTGTTCTTTCAAAAACAAAAAAACATCCCCTTTTCGAAAAATTTTCTTTCTAGTTTAGTATTTTGATTATTAGAGAAAATGTGTAAAAATAATTTAAAGTGTTAAGAACTTTAAAAACTTGGAAATAGGTTCATAAAAACGAAAAAATTAACAAAAATTCAGTGATTAAAAGTTCAATTTTTCCAATAAAATAAAGTAAATGTCAGATTAAATAGCTCCTAAAATGAGTTCCTAAAATCCTTAGTTTTTTGGACCATAAAATTGAAAGTGTATGTAGTTACCCTAAATTCTCGTGAGAAGCAAGGCTATCAAAAAGCAACCTTCTGTTAATTTTTTAAACTTTTTTTGCCTCTAACGGCTAAGCTTTCACGTTCGAATTATAAATATTTAGTACTTCTAATTAGAGATCGGTCAAATTATATCGTTTTGCGATACAGATATTCGTTTAACGATTAATATCGATTTAAAGTCTAGTTTCTACTTCTAATACTAAAATCTGCGCAAGTGTTTATAACGTGTATTGTTTAATTTTTGAACAAAAGAAATTAACAAACAAAAAGAAACCAAAAAAATATTTTCCTTTTATTTTTGCTTAAAATTGAAAATAAAAAGACTTTCGCGGAAAATGCCCCTTATTAACAAACAGAAAAAATATTCAAAAAAAATATTTATTAATTTTTTTCAATTTATTTTTAGATAAAATCAAAATAAAATGCTTAAAATATTTTATATATTTAGATAAAAATCATTTATTTTGAGGGATTTGTGTTCAACAAAAATATATTTGGAGATTATTTATTTTGTGGAGATAATCCCTCCAAGTAAATCCCTTCATTTCTCACGGAAGAAATTTTTGCATTTCTTTTACAAAAATACAAAACATAATAATAGATTCTATGTTTTGAACAGCTAAATTTCACCGTCTTCCCCCATTCTTTTTTTTATTTTTTGGGCCCTAATCTTGTGACAATATTAATCTGAATGTATTAACTACCCCGGGTAATTATTGTTTCGATCTCTCGCTGGAGGGGGTAATAAATAGAGGCGGGGTAATTAATAGAGGTTATTTTAGAAAGGCTAATTATAACTATTTTTAAGGGAGTAATTATTGTTTCAACCTTTCGCTGGAGAGAGTAACTAATACAGGCGGGGTAATTATTTAAGGGAGGGACATTAATACAGTTTTTACGGTATATCCTCTAAGATTCAATATTACATTTTCAGAAAAAAATTAACCAAACAAAAATATTTAATTATCTCAAGAATTTATTTTTTTGTAAAGAAAATGTATGGAGTATTTATTTAATGTATATTTATTACTACTACATAAATTATTTATATTAATGGGCGTAATCGGAAGAAAGAATCAAAAATATTTAATAATAATATTTGGTTATATTTAAGAAAGTAAAAGAATTAATTGTAAAAATAAAAGAAATCCCGCAAGAAATAATTAGGGAAAGAAACATTCCTTTATTTTATTATATTATGTATGTATAAGGTTAATGGAAAATTAAGTTAATAAATAAATTTTTAAAATGAAGAAAATATTAATAAATATAAGTAATACATATTTAAATAAAAATCTGTTGATTTTGATCAATTATTGGTAATAGTTAAGTTTGAGTTTCCCCTTTTTTCTTTGGGCTGT